ATAAGGATATAAAGGTAAATTATATAATTCCAAAATATAAAGCTCAATAAACTTATTTCGGTAAAGTTATAAGAATAATTATATAACATTCGAAAACAATAGATGATCAAAAACATCAGAACGGTTAAATAAATCCATAAAATTTAATAATTATTTTGCATTATTGAAAATTTTTTTAGGGTAAGAATATAAAATCGGGTATTTTACTAAATTACACCAGCTCTTTACTGGCTCTTGTATTGTAAACATGGCGAAAACATCTGACATCATTGGAAGTTAGAAAACTGATAGTCAAGTTATATTCATAGTATTTTAAGAAAACTTGAGGAATCTGGGTCATGTGAAACCAAGAAACCAGCTGGCAGGCCTAGGAAATCTACTGTAAGGGAAGACAGATGAATGAATCAGAAAAGGATCGATTTGTGACAGCAACCGCTATCTCTAAAAGAGCTAATGCTAACCTTGGCATTAAAATATCAAGGCACACTATTTCCCGAAGATTTAATGAAATTTGAACAGTTGAGTAGCCTCTACGAAGCCTTACATTTTTAAAAAGAATCAAATGAGTCGACTGAAATTTGCCACTGAACACGTCATATGGACAGAAGAACAGTGGGATTGTGTTCATTTCAGCAATGAGTCAAAGTTTAACCTTTTCGGTTGTGACCGGAGAAGGTTCGTTCAACGCAGTCCTAAGGAACGATATTCGTCTCCATGCACTAAAAGCGGCGTTAAATTTGGAGGAGAAAGTGTGATGGTGTTTGGAATGATTTCACCTACTGGTACGGGACCTTTTGTTAGGCTACATGGTAAAATTTACACAACTGTATACAAAGAGATATTGAAGAAACATGTATCTAATTTGAGAACTAGAATTAATCAACCAGCTGTATTTATGTAAGATAATGCGCCATGTCACACAGCGAAGCCTGTTGAGACATTTCTTTCTGAGGAGGATATTACTGTTAAGGAGTGGCCTGCTCAAAGCCCAGGTATGAATCCTATTGAGAATGTTTGGCAGTTACTAAATGAAAGAGCTAAGGAAAAGAATCCAACAAACATCGAAGAACTACGGACTAATTTGAATGAATTTAACTTACTGTTATGGTGAAACACACCTATTCTCTAGTTAATAGACCCTCCCACCTAATATAAGTAGGAGTAGTAAGAGAAACGAAGGTCGGTCGATGTTGGACGACAGTAGTCGACAGTTAGTTGAATACGAAAGTAGTCAGTGACCACAACAAGATTACTCTGCGTAATACCTATTATATCAAGTTCCTAACGATTTTGTACGTCGAACTATTTAGGACCGATTTAGTACAAATACAAGCCTCCACTGCAAAATAACTCTACAACACTTACTTATAATCCTTTAAAAAAATTTATACTTGTCTTTGTGTTTGCCCTTTCAGGATATGGGTGATCATGGCTCTTCTCAACTTCCTCTCTTTTGACTCTTTAGCATTCTTTTTTTGTCCTTGTTTTGTTGTCCATTCACAGAAACTTGTTACGCAAGTTACTCACTGTCCCCCCCCATTGTTTCTCTTACCTTCAGTATGCCCTGTGAATTTTAGATTCTCCAAGCCCTCTTTCTTCATCTATCCTAAAAATAGCAACTGTCTCTTTCTGATTCTATATAGGTTTCTTTATAGTTCCTCTTTTTCTTAATGCTTCCTCATTGCTCACATGTTCAGTCTATTGTATTCTCCACATCTAGAAATGCATTTCTATCACTTTGTCTCCTCTTCACTCTTGAGAGATTGTTCAGCTTTCATTGTTATATAAGAGATTAGACAGTACATAGCAGTTCAGCACTATTTTCCTTGTTTCTGAGGAAATTTTCCTATCTCTTAATACTTTGCTTAGTTTCTGGAAGGCAACTTTTGCTATTCCTATATGCCTTTGCATTTTCCATTGTTTGTTATGCAGTGAGTTAAATTTCTGTACTTGCTTCATTATCAACATCCCCAATATGTAAGTTCGCACCTTGGCATGTCCCTTTTGCTCACAACTATGCATTCTCTCTTTCACTATCTTTTTGCTTTCCTTTACTACCTTGTCTAAGAGTTATTTGTTTTTTCTTAAAAAAAAAGAAACCTTTTATTGTTTACATCAGCCACACCTTATATATGTTCATTCAGCTTTGCTGGAAAAACACCAACATTTTTGAAAGTGAAAGAAACAGTTTCCAATTTGAAAGGTTATTGGGGATTTGCCTTTCTGCATCGTTTCATTGTCTGTTGTTCTCCTCTTGACAAAGTGTTGTTAGAACAGATGTTTTGCCACCTGTGGCGCCAAAACATCTATCATTTTTCTCTGCATTTTTTTCTGCTTAATATTTTGACTTGGTTTTGATGCATATCCACTTCTGGGAGTTTAATTTATTTGCACATATGTAAAAGATTTTTTTATACTGTTCAACCTTGATTTAGCTCAATATCAACTAGGCCTTTATGATTAAGATTGGCATCTCTTTTAGAAACCATTGTATGGGTTAAAGACACAAAAAAAAATATATTTAAAGCCACTAACATCATTATGACTAATACTATTCTCTGAGTATTGTTAAAACTTATCACATCAAAATCAATTCCATCCTGGGTATGATAATAAACTTTATCCGACAGCACAGCCACTGATCAAGTTTTGAGGAGCGTGGAACCACCTCTTAAATGCTAGTGTTTCCAGGTCCAACCTGACCTGGGATAGTAGCACCTGTTAGGGTCCCAGCTATGGGCAAATAGTTGACCCGCAAACTGAAGTCAAAATGTGTATTAAAAAAAAAGGTTTTATTACCAGCAATGAATTTTTGAAGAAAATAATTATCAGCAATACTTTTTTGGGAAAAAGAAATATTACCAGCAATACATTTTTGAAAAAAATATTACCACAATAAAAATCATGTCGGCATTAAATAAATAACCTATTGAGGTTGATATGCCATAAAACAAACCAAACAAACCAAAATCAATTCTAACATTGACTTTGTGATCTATTGATTGGCAACAAATTATTCAAATTTGCTTATTGGTAGGAATAATTCTTGCCAATGAAAAAAGTTTTTCAGTATTAGCGATAGTCATAGTACTTCTCATTAATTGGTAAGAGTTCTTGCTAGTGGTAAAATTTTCTGTCTGCAATGACTTGTATTGCCTTGAAGTCAAAAGGACCCCCCCCACTAAGCAAAACTGCACTAGACTTTTATTTCTTTTGGACATCTTTCATGGCACAATTCACTTGCATCGGTTGTGACTGCTGTGTCTAGTTTGCATGACAATGACAAGCCACTTTTCCCATGGAGTGAATTCACAAGTTTCTCCACTCACTCCTGCCCATTTCAATCCTTCATTAGAAAATCCTTTAGTCACAAAATCAGTTCATTGGGACACAGTGTAATAATAGCTTAGATTTTTTTTTTTATCCTTTTTCTTAAATTTAAATGTGCATTTTGCATCAAAAGAACGTTCTTGTAAGGTCAGCACCATCTGCAACAATAGGGTACACTGGGCTCCATAGTTATGTATACAACTTGTGTGATAATGTCACGCCATTGCTTGGCAGAGTGCTTCTTAGACTGAAAGCAATTGCCAAGGTGGAGGATTCCTCCAACAGAATGAACAACTATCTATAAACAAAGCAAGCTTTCAAGTTGGTGGACATCAGGTGTGGTTTGATGTGGAGAGGGATGGGCTCCGTCAGGTCTACTTGCTCTTCATTATGCATGAATGTACACAACTACTGCAGTGAGGATATGTCATTGTTTGGTAGGGGAGAGTGAGTACTTGCTGGAGTAGTACAGGAAACCAAACATTTTTCCAGCATCTTGTATGGATTGTATGTACACGTTCCATGAGGTCTATGTCCCAATAGACACTCGAGAGGGAACATCTGTTCATCCCAATTGGTGAAAGTTCTGGGCACTCTTGGTTTTAATGTAGAATAAATGGATTCTCTTGACCACAGACATGGGGGTTTACTCCTGACACCATATCAGCACATATGGCAGAGGTCTTCTTAGACTTTAAGTCAACGGCCAAGGTGGAGTGTTCTCTTGGTAGAATTAACAGTTACATGTCTGTGACTAAAGTGAGCCTTTAAGTTGGAGGACTGTGGTTTGACCTGGAGAGGGATGGGCTTCCCCAGGTCGTCTTGCCCTATATTATGCATGAATGTATACCTCTCTGGTTTTCAACCCATATACAGGGCGTGGCAGAAATACTTCTCAAATAATAGTAAGACATTAGTGGCAATGGCTTCTACATCTACCTAATGTCTTACCATGATGTGGGGTGTATTTCCGCCACATCCTGTATATGGAAGAAACTAGTCAGGTGCTCAGTTGTGCAGTGAGTCTATGACTGCACCCAGTCAAAGGACTGATGATGAAGATGCATTTTACATGTCAGCATACCTTGAATAAAACTCTCAGACCTTGTATCAAAAAAGTATTTGTTGTAATAAGAACCCATACCTCTTTCCATGTAGAATGTAGGCACCTACCAGTGAACCATCGTGCCTTATCTGTTGTAAAACTAGCTGAGGTACCTGGCATTGCTCAGAAACTAATTTTGTCTAAATAGAAAAGCAGTCAGACACTTCATTTTATTTGCATAGATTATTAAAATGACTAAGGGAAGTAACTATGCATAAATTTAGTACTGAAAGTTGATTTACCTCACTTACTATTTTAACATGGGCATAAATATTTAACTTCCATGAAAAATGGCTTCTTTGATCTTATTTTTAACCTTTCATGACCTTCAGAGTTGACCGATGCCTATTTGCATGCTAGGTTTGATTGAAATTCATCCAGTAGTTTCTGAGTCTATAACAGACACTTTTATTTTATTTGTGTAGCTAATAGTCTTTCTAAAAAGAAAAAAATTATTACAAGATGAAAGTATGCAGGTTATGAACACATAAAGAAATTGAATGGTGCCTATTGCAGAGATTCTTATTTTTCAGGAATGTTCTAAATATTCTTTTCTCTCTTGCAGAGATTGGTGATTTCTTGGCATTGGATTTGGGTGGCACAAATTTCCGTGTCCTGCATATTCAACTGGACGGACAGGACACTAAAATGGAAAGCAAAATTTTCCTTATTCCGCAGGTGATCATGTCTGGGACTGGGGTGCAGGTGAGTCTCTTTTTGGGCTTCAAATCTTGTGCCTTAACACAAAACTTATTCTGCTCTTGTTTACCCTGATACTTGGATCACATCTATCTTGGCTCTCATTGCCACAAACTGAAACATTTCAGAATTTCTCTTGCAACATCCACCAATAAAATACTTACACTTTCTTTTTGCACCAGGCCATCAGTTGCAATATCTTTTTTTACCTTTAATTTCGTGCAGCCAATGTTTTATTTTTGTAATTTTCCTCTCTAGCAATTTGTCTAAGAGTAAAGAGTAATTTTTCTTATTGCTACCATTTTTATTTTCGTCTTTTTGGCTTTCAAATTGACCAATTATGTCTTTTTGGGGGGGTCAGGGGATTGTTTTGTTCTCTTCGTGTTTCTTTATACAATTTTGTTTTGTTTTATTTTAAACTTTATTTTTTAACTTATTTTTAAACTTTTTTTTTTTTTTATAAACTTTTTTCATTTGGCTTCATTTTTAATTTTTTTTTTTAATTGTTACTTTTTGTTATTGTTCCTTTTTTATTTTGCTTCTTTTTGTCTTTTTAATTGTTTCTTTTTCATATTTTTGTTTATTTTTTCCATTTGACACTTTTAGTGTTTTCACCCCCCCCTTTGGCTTTCTTAGCATTTCCCTTTTTGTTTTATCCATTTTTTTTATCATTTTCATTGGCGGCTTCTTCTTCTTTATCTTTTTCTTCCCTAATCTTCCTTCTCAATGTTTCCTTCTTTCTTTGTTCTTTACTCAATATAACCGGTTTTTATTTATTTTAAAAAGTTTGTTCATTTTGTATTTTTCTCATCCACAAATTTCACAAGTGTTCGTTTATTTCCGTTTCAGCTCTTTGACCATATAGCCGACTGTATTTACAAATTCATGAAAGAAAATCGACTGCTAGACAAAGAGCTTCCACTAGGATTCACATTCTCATTTCCATGCCGACAGGAGGGCCTTGCTAAGGCTATCCTCACCACCTGGACAAAAGGTTTCAAGTGTGAAGGTGTGGAAGGCAACAATATTGTCGAACTATTACATGCTGCCGTTAAGAGGAGAGGGGTAAGTACTACATTTTCATCTTTACATGTTGTTTTGTTTTGTTTTACTTATATTTTAAAACCTTGCCAATTGTTCTAAAATTTATGCATACTCTTTACAATTATTTTCTCTAAAAATTTTGTAGCAGGAAAATATTTAAAATCAAATTTTACCAAAACCCTTAAATTAAATTTTATTATTTGTAATTTGTGTGTGCTGGGGGCGCTGAAAATTTCTCACATCCCACTAGTTTTGTGTTTTGGTCAGATCTTTCAGCATTCTTTTGTGTAGGATGCTTCAAAAGTTACTGCAACATAGAATATTTTCCATGTTTTATCTACATAACCAAATGTTTGGAATATTAACGGAGACAATTTATTTTCTTTTTTACAATTACTGTGAGAGGTACAAAAGATGGTTACATGCTATAAATCTTGGTATCCTTTCATTAGAGGACCTACTTTAGGTTAGAAAGATGTCATATGTAGTTTCAACAAGACAGGATTCTACAACCTTTTGCTACTGTTTCTTAACCAGATGTTTGGTTGCAAGGAGCTGTCCACTTGAATAACCACACAGGTTGGCTAACTTTATGCCTTGCCTTGATCTTTGTTTTTGGTTCACTTGAGGGGGAAATTGCTGATCTACAAAAATCCACCAAAATTTGTGTCTTTAAAGTGGTGACCCTTTCTGATTGTTTAAAAATCAGTACAGATATTTTAATGCAAGTTCAAAAATTAATAGCGTTCTTGATATAAGAGGTCAACTCCTTGATTGTCATCTGTATGATAAGCTACATTCAGCAGCCAGGCCTCTGATCGGGAGGTTTTGAGGAGCATGGAACCACTTCTTAATTGCTGCTATTCCCAGGTCCACCCTGATCCCGGGTGGTAGCACTTGTTAGGGTCCCCACTATGGGCAAATAGAAAATCCATAAACAAGAATCAAAATATAAAAATATATTTTTATAAAAAATACATATTAGCAATACATTTTTGTGGTGAAAGGATCACTGATACATTTTATAGCAAAATTACCAACAATCCAACACTAAAAAAGTATAAAAATACATTTTGATCATAAATTTACCAGAAATGGTGTTTGGAGTGATGGTGAGGTTATACCTCCATTCATCTTCCCAAAGTGCCTCAAAGTCAAAATAGAGGCCTACATCAAGTGCCTTGAGTAGGTAGTGCTGCCCTGGGCCAATAGGGTGTCTTCTGGAAGACCCTATATCTGGCAACAGGACTATGCACCATGTCACATAAGCAGGAGAACCCATTCAGACAATTTCTGTGATCATATGACCCCTTACATTTGGCCAGACTGCAATGCCCTTGATTATTATGTGTGGGGCACAATTGAGCGAGAAAACAAAACTCCTTAAGATACCAAATATGAACTGGAGGCAAAGATAATGGCAGCATTCACCAACTTAAACAAGGAGACCACCCAGAAGAGTTGCAGGAGATTCTGAAATTATCTGGAGGCCATGGTTGAAGCCAATGGTGATATTATCTGTATATATTACCTGTGTGTATGTATATGTGTATAAAAATTAAAAATTGGTCAGAAAAGGTTTCTTGACATTATGTATGTTCTTGACAAAATTGCCAAGTCTGTCCTCTGAATGTACAATTAGTTTAATGAAGTTTGAAGATATTAGAAACAAAATGTCTCTGAATTTGCTCATAAGGAAAGGAATCCTTGGTTCTTACAGTCAACCCCTTGCCATTGTTAACTGTTAATCTTCTGCTACTGCATTAATAAAATGGTAAAATTATTACTGCCATTCTTTGTCTTCCTACTCCCAACCAAAATGTAAGTGCCATGTCCCAAGTTATTTTACTGTTCTTGGATCTCTTAAGACATTCAATTCATTACATGTTTGTGATTTTGCTGTTTTACCTGAAGTCAGATACCTCTGCTCAAATTGTCCTGGGTAAGACGATAAGCTACATCTAACAGCAAGGCCTTTGATCAGGAGGTTTTGTGAAGCATGGAACCACCTCTTAATTGCTGGTGTTCCCAGGTCAAAGCTGACCTGAGGTGATAGCACCTGTCAGTCCCAGCTATGAGCAAATAGCTACCCCCACAAGAAGGAGGTCAAAATATTCATCCCCAAGCGAATTTTGGAGACTCCAAAATTCGCTTGAGGATGAAATGGAACTAATGTCTTTAATTTAATTACAAAATTAAATTCGGGGCTTTTAGCTTCCATTTTTGAAACATGGTATAAAACTGTATAGCGAAATAAAAAACATATTTTAAATCAATTAATTTATTATATATATATATATATATATATATATATATATATATCACACAAAGGAAGCTTACCTTAACCACTATGTTTCATCTTCTGTAGGACTTTATCAAGGCAGTTGCAATGATTTTATTTTTTTTAACAAGTATTTATTTACAAGAGCAAAAATGTTATATGTAAATACTTTTTACAAAATTAAATCCTTGATAAAGTCTCTCAGAAGACAAAACACGTCAGCTAAGATAAGTTTTCCTTTTGTCTTTATTCATATTGTTCTTTTGCAGATATATTCTCTCTGAAATTTTACGCACAATGGCTCATTACTTGTTTCTGAGCACACCTGTCTTCTAGGACAGCTAGTCAATCCCTGTTGCAGATGCCTGCACATGCACATTAGTATTTTTTCAGCATCTAGTAAGCCCAATGGTTTATATTGCTACTATGCTGAGTAAACATTAGTTCCGGGAGAAAGCCGATCATCTGGCAGGATTGGTAGTTTGAACAAATACATATTTGTGCACAAACACACACAAACAACCTTTATGATTTAAAAAAAAAAAAAAAATCATTAATTCCCCCTCCTCCTGTATCTCACTATTGATTACTAGTCTTGTAAACTATAAGTCTTGTAGGGCAACCACATGTGTTGCAGCCATAACAGCAGAGGGTACATCGAGGACAATAGTCTGAAGTGCATCTCTTGTCAGGCTGGTTTTCAACTCAGAGTTGTCCTTCTCTAGACTGCCATCAAAGGCAAGAGAACCCAGTCTCCCCTGTTATTTAGCCTATAGCTTGGCAAGGATGGATTCATGCCTTTTCCAACACAGGCTTAATCAGAACTTGAATTGGCGTGATGATTTCACTTTCAACATTGTTAGCAGCTGATGCTACTTTTATTTTAAACGAACAGGCCACACTTGTTGGCTGTTCCTGTATACTCATTGTGGAGCTTAGGGAGGGCTGCAGCCACACCAAGTGATACTGATACAATCTCAGAAGCAAGTTAATTTTTTTATGGGGGCCCAGGGTACTATCCTGACACACATGGCTAAACAGCTCCAGCTATCCTGCTATTTACTCTTAGCTGAGAAAGGAGGATTGAAAAGTGCAGTGTGAAAAGCCAACTGCCCCAGCCAAAGTTTGAACTTGGTTTGCTATTTTCATTCAGTGTTAACTGTTAGTGTGGTATATTTAGTTGGTGAAAGAATTTGTCTTTCTGAATAACTATGGGAGAAGATTGCTGCAAGAATTTTAAAGAATCAAGACAGTGGGTGCTTAAGTTCGAGAACTCAATGGAAGGGGGAAAAAAAAAAAGAAAAAGATGTTTACAATGAACCCACTCACAAGTCTTGCAGCAGCATTGGGTGTGTCTAGGGTAAGATAGCCCAACAGATCTCATTCCTTAATGACTGGTTTTATATTCAGAATTTCCCCATTTTTTTTTTTTTTTTTTTTTAACTGGTTGCCACTCAAGGCAAGAGAGCCCAGTCTACCCTACAATTTACATTATAGCTGAAGAAACAGGCAGAGGGAGACATAAACAAATGAGACTGAGTCAGAATTTGAAACTGACACACTGGTTTTACTTTCTGCAGTGATAGCCATTATGCTACCCACACAAAGAAAGTAATATTAAAGCTTGTTGTTTAATCGGATGAGAGAAGACACTGTTGAACAATGTATAAATTTAAGAAAAAAACAAAAAAACGACCCAAGTTAACACTGTTGGTGCCCATTAGAATGAGTGGCCCAAATCCAGATTGTTAAGAATCCATGCCAAAGCTTAAAGGACTTTCTCTGAAAATAAAATCCCGAAATCTAAGTGACACAAAGTAAACTGTAAGCTTATGACCTTCTCAGCCAAAATCTGAAATTAACAAATTTTAAATTCAAGTAATCTTAAAGACTGTTGTGTTAATCAGGTTAGAGAAGATGGCCTAATATGTAATTGCATATTAATTGCTCAGCTGTGTACAGACGTGCAATTTTATGTGGGGTAAATAACAGGAAAAGGGGAAAAAAAAATCCAAAAGAAAAGAAAATGCAGACTATGTTAACAAGGTTGATATCTGTTAGATTGAGTGGCCCAAACTAATAACCTGAACGAGTTTAGGAATTCAAGTAAAAATAAACTTGATCTCAAATATCAGTAAAATATACAAGGAGAAAGAGAGACAGATGAAAAACAAAAACAAACAACGAAGGTATTAAATGAACAATTTGCAAATCAGTGCCAGTTGGTTGTTCGAAAGGCCATCAAATGATAGAATCAAATATCATTGGCATCTTTATGGTGAATTTTCTCTTAAAGTCTTTGAGAACTTTCTTGGAAAATGGCATTCAGAAATCAAAGTAATGCAGTAAATGAAACTGACTTGTTCAAAATTTGAACCCGGCAAGCAGATTTCCATTTTCCATGTGGAAAACTGTTCTACATCCACATCATGTATCTTCTGTGTGCCGTGATCTTTCAAGACATGGGTGATCATGGCTCTTCCCAACTTCCTATCCATTGTAGCTCTTAGCAAACTTTGTCGTTTTACTAACCCTACACTTCCTTGTTCAGTCATTCCTCACACAAACTTGTTAGGTACGTTTCTTGTCGTTTCCCTTTTGCTTTCAATATGTCATGTGAGAGTCAAATTCTCCAAGCCTCTTTTTCTCAATAATGTGTCCAATAAATTTCAACTGTCCTTTTTTGATTTTAAATATAAATGTCCTTTTCGTTTGTATTTTCCTTAAAACTTTGTCATCGTTCCGTCCATGGTATTCTCATCATCCTTCTGTAAAACCAAATTTCTGTTGCCTCAAATCTTTTCTTCATCTGTGAGGACATGGTCTAACATTCATTGCTAAATAGAAGGATTTATATTACATAATAGTTGAGTACTCTTTTATTTTGGTTTTAACAAATATTTCTTGTTTCTTGATACTCTGTTTAGCTTTTGGAAGGCATCTTTCTCTATTTCGGTGTACATTTGGATTTCGGTGTCACATTATCATTATCAGGAAACATGGTTTGACAATTAAAAATAAGCATGGAGAAAAACTGATCTCACATATGTTTTTCTTAGGAAATGTTACAGCTGCCTTGTCAATTAGGCTACAAGGCCTTCAGACTGTACTCATTTCAAAACAGGGAGACATTTGAAGTTACTTACCTATTAACAAGAACAAAATTCTGAGTGTTATCTTTGATTTCATCATGGAAACCATTTAACTCTCTGCAAAGACAGAAAAGGAAGATCAACTTCATTCAATTTAAATCGCATGAAACAACGTAAATTTTAAAATAGCTTCTTTTTTTGTTTTTCAACAAACCAACATGTTGACAAATGCTTTCAAAAAATATTCTAATTAATTATTTCTTCTTTTATATGCCATATCCCTTCAGGACATAGGTGATCATGGCTCTCCACTACTTCCTATCCATTGTAGCTTTTAGCAATATTTGCCTTTTCATCTTCCCTTACAGTTCCTGTTCTGCCAGTCATTTACACAACTGTTAGGTACGTTACTCGATGGTTCTCTCTGACTTCAGTGTTTTGTGAGTGTCAAATTCTTCAAGCTTTCTTCATTATTTAAATTGTATGAAATAACGTAAATTTTAAAATAGGTTCAAATTTTTTTTTTTTTTTTTTTTTTAACAACTCACATATGTTGACTTAAGTGCTTAAAAAAAGATAAAATTTTAATAAATTATTTCTTCTTTTATGTGCCTTATCTCTTCATGTTGTGGACGATCATGGCTCTTCACTATTTCCTATCCTTTGTAGCTTTTAGCAATGTTTGTCGTTTTACTAAACTTCCTTGTCCTGTCATTCCTTTGCATAAGATCGTTTGGTTATTTTTTTCGCTGTTTCCCCTCCCTTGCATTCAATATGCCCTGTGAGTGTCACATTTTCCAAGCCTTCTTTTCTCATTGTGTCCCAGAAATGTAAACTGTCTTTCAAGTTCTGCTTATATTATCAGCATCATACTGATATCTGAAGTTATGAATTACAAAATTAATACAATGGGTAAGATGTTTTTTTTTTTTTTTCTTTTCTTTTGTTATATTTCAGTATTCCCAAATTACGATAATATATATTTTTCAATTGTTTTCTTTTGTCTCTTTCCTAGGATATCAAAGTGAAATGTGTGGCTGTGATTAATGATACTGTTGGAGCACTCATGTCCTGTGCTCACAGTGACAGGAAATGTGCTGTTGGTATCATCCTTGGTAAGTACCGATTGATTATTATTACTTTTTATATTTTTTTCTTTTAAATACCAGCATGAAGCAAAACTCTTGTTAGCTCGTCTACATATTGGGCTGTTGTTATCTGACTTTGACTATTAGCCAGTCAATTGTAAGTAACTCGCAACTAACCCTGCAAAACTAAAAAAAAAAAAAAATGCAACACTTTGTGCAGAGCTGTCCTTATGAAAATGCTGGATTCCTCAATCCAAAGAACAAACTTTGGCAGTCAACTCATGCCTGTTACTTACTTTGCAGTTTTTCTATTTGAAAAGAATTTCAAAAAATCCTTGAGGGCTTACATCCAGATCACGTTGTAGGGTGGGTATTTGGCTAGTTTTCAATAATAAAAAAAACAAAAAACAAGTCATCTTATCTCTAGTCGATTAATCAGATGTATAAGTGATATTTCTGTTGATAAAACTTTATTTTTAAATTCATTGTGTTTGTATAGAAAGAACTATCTGCCTTGTCAAAATTCAGTCATGTTAGAAAATCTTACAGCATTCATAATAAGCATTGATGTCATCTGCTATTTCACATTTAGTCTTGGGTATGATGATAAACTACATTTGGCAGAAAGGCCTCTGATCAGGAGTTTGGAGTTTTTTTTGAGCAGCATAGAACCAATGCTTAATTGCTGCTGTTCCCAAATTCACCCTGACCCAGGGTGGTAGCACCTGTCCTCGTTTTTGCTGTTATCACATTTCAGTCTTCATCAGGTATATGTCAATCTATGTAACTGACAAGGAATTTTGAACTGAACCCTTTATTTAATTTACGAGGTAGACTGTTATCATTCCACTACTGATGATATCTCATCTAGTTCTTATTTTTAGTATTGCTCAGTTATTGTACTCATGTTTCCACTGAGTCCAAGTACACACTACCCAGCCCAGGAATTGAACTCTGAATTACTAGGCTACCAAATGCCTTGATTCACTAGGCTACTTTCAGTTGTTCAGAATTCTGCTTTAAATCTTTTTGTCAGTTTTGTTGCAATTATGTTTTTGTCAGTCCATTTTTCAGTCCTGGGTATGATGGTAAACTACATCCAGCAGCAAGGCCTCTGATTGGGAGGTTTTGAGGTGCATGGAACCACCTCGTAATTGCTGTTGTTCCCAAGTCCACCCTGACCTGGGGTGGTAGCATTTGTTGGGGTCCCAGCTATGAGCAAATATGAACTCAAAAATAAAACACTATAGAAGTATAAAAATACATATTTACAGTAAAATGACCAATAATACATCTTATCTGTAGTTGAAGGCATGCATTTGCACTCAAAATATTTAGATTTTGTCATTAAATAACGCATAGAGGTTGATATGACGCTAAAAAAAATCAACCAAGCAACAAACATGTATCTACACAAAAGCTGGACAAAGATATGTTTTATCTGTAGTTGAAGTCATATAATTGCATTCAAAATATATTTACTTGAAGCCATAAAATTGTATTCAAAATGTTTAGATTTCAGCATTAAATAACCCATAGAGGTTGATATGCCCTAAACAAAATCAACCAACCAACAAATGTGTATCTGCACAAAAGCTCACCAACGACATATTTTATCTGTAGTTGAAGGCATATAATTGTGTTCAAAATATATTTACTTAAAGCCATAAAATTGTGTTCAAAATATTTAGATTTCAGCATTAAATAACCCATAGAGGTTGAAAATCAACCAAATCAGCCTACCAGTACATTCTCTGACCTTCAACAGGTGTGCCAATATAAGCCTCAAGAAAACCAGAGACTAATGGTACCAACAAAAATAATGCAATTAATTCCTGGAATAATTCTTGGAATGACCAGGAATCCTTTAAAAATTGCAGAAAATCAAATCTTGTGATGAGAAAGCAAATATGACTTTGAGATTTGTCAAAGGTTGAAATTGTTATTCATCCTTTCTTAAGTTTTCACCCATTCTGATTTGTTGATGAGGAGGAACGTTAAACGCCTGTCTTTGTTAGTACTCATCTGTTTACTCCCATTTTTTTTTTGTGGGTGGGACATGTTGTTGCTTCAAGCTTGTTCCTCCTTTTTAAGGAGTACATTATCAATAGTGTTTTTGCCCGGGCAATTCTAAGTATCCTGTCTTTTTTTTTTTTTTTTTTTTTTAATTCTTAAAATGCTTTATCTCTGCAGTTTTGTGTTGACTGCTTGGGATTCACCTTGTCCAGAGGTGATCTCTTTACCTGTGTCCTTTCACATATCCATCTATCTAAAAACAATGATCTCATTGCAAGAGTGCTTCTTTTTTTTTTGGTTTCCCCTCTTTTCTTTATTCTGTTTAACACCTGTGTTTGTTGAGGTTGCATCTGAGGAGGAAGTATAGATAGTGGGTGGAAGGATAATTGTGTATACTTTCCTATTATATACACATTCTCTCTTTCTCTCTCTCATATATATATATATATATATATATATATATATATATACACACACACATTCTTCCAATCAACTGTATTATGTAAAACCCTGTGTCTGGATGTATATTTCAGATTGACGTCAATAGAATAGATTAGTGCAACAGATGGTAACCACTTGGGTGCTTGTAAGCCTCTATACAGTCCCCCCCTCCCCAACTTAGCTACATGAATGTTAATCTTTGTAAATAGTTGCCTCTTCTGTCTATATGGTACTAAAAGTTTGATTTTTCTGTGTTTGTATATAAACTTAAAATGCAAAGAAGTCGCTTAAGCAGTGCATTCTCATGAATGAAACAAAAAAAAAAAAAAAAAAAAGATCCAAGTGATATGCAACTGTGTGATAATACAGTCGGATCCGTGTTCAAACTTAACTATATACCAAAACTAGGCAGATAACTATTAAATGCTAATTATAAGTACTATCCCTTGTTTAATTGCACAGGAATTTTTGCTTATCATTTCACGCCAAGCAAAGCAGGAATGCCACTAGTGTGCAAGAGTTTACAGGGAGTGAAAGAAAAGACTGGGTATAGGAAGGATTGAGGAAAGCACAAAAGATTAACAGGATTCGAGAATATAGAAGATGGCGATTGACATGGGATTTAAATTTTTGAAGATTGTAGTTATCAAGGAAGCAAGTAAATGGAAGGGAGTTCCTCAGGTGAGAAGTGTGAGAAAAGAAACTGTTGGAGTAGAAGTGGCAGTTGCATTTAACTATTTCAACAGTAAATGGGTGGGGACCTAGATACCAATCTATTAGCACTCTTAAATTCATGTAGTCAGGGCACCAGGTAAAAATAAAACTTGTCAGAGCACTTGCCATGAAAATATTTATAGAAAAGACAGAGGGAAGCCTGGCCATGTAGGTGAGAAAGTGACTGAAGTCTAAAAAAATGTCGCTTGCTTTATTTTCCACATAATACACAGAAGTTAACATAATATGTAAAGGAGAAAATTCAATGACATTCATTTTAACCATCATAATTTTTCCTTGTGAATCAAATTTGTGGCGGCAGATTTTAATTCATAATACATATTTCATGAAATACATCTGTCTGCTTGTTTGGTACACAACATCGTACCTCCTTCTCCATAGGGACCCAAACGATACTAATCAGACTATGACTTGTATGCCAGCTGTCACTTACAACTGTTCTCATAGCGTAAGACCCTGCTACCCACTGCGACTTTTCATGCCTTTATAGATGTTGTTTTTTTTATATTCCAATTTGATAAAATCTCGAGAATATGGCAATAATGATGAGGACAAAAGAAATATAGACAGATTCTGAAGAAGGCCAGAGTGCACAACCACTGAAACATCATGAATGTGTCAATAAAGATGAGGACAACAGTTTAAACGATGTAAATAGCATAAATAGTTACAATACCTCATCTCAGAAATATAAACAGATCCTGAAGAAGGTCAGTGTCCAACAGCCAAAACACCATGAATGTTTCAATAAAGATAAGGACAACAGTCCACTAGTGTAATAGTTACAATACCTCATCTCAGAAATATAGACAAATCCTGAAGAAGGTCGAAGCATACAGTGGGCGAAATGTTATGAATATGGCAATAAAGATGAGGACGACAGTCTGAACAATGTAAATAATAAAATGTTGTTGAAAATTTCATTTCTTGAAAATATGCATTTCTGCCTGTGTCTAGACTGTTTATATTACTATGAAACCTGGTTTCTTCTGGGTACATGTGTTTGAGTTGCTATCTCCATCTGTTGCCATAGCAGGATATAACAACACATGTATGAAATTCAAACACTATTGTTCAGGGATCCGAGTCAACTTTAGTGGCAGGATAAACTTTCTGTACTCCAAATGAAGTCACACATAGTGATAAAGGTTAATTTAATTAAAATGCAATATTGTTTTCTGCATTTTTTTTAAAGTTTTTATATATACAAGAATCCAGTTTTCCCTGTGTTTGTGAGAACTATAAACAAATCACAAAGCCAAAATGCTTCAAAAAGGTGGAATTTGGCTCCAGAAAGAAATATTTATGCATGGCCAGTTGTATGTTGCATACTCAAGAGTAAGAAATTCTAAGAATTTATTCTTCATAGTTAAAAAGGAAAAAACAGAAATTGTTTTTAAAGTATTGTTTACCATGAAGTTTTATAAAATGAAATTAAAGAAATTATTAAACTGTGAAGTAGGGGTTTTGTCAAACGTATTTTTCCAAAAAAAATCAGCTTGCTCAAAGTTCATTGATTGTTTTGCAACATTGAATAAAACGTAGTCTATAAATCTCAACAAAAAATGTTAACAATAATTTCAACAATATTAAATACTGTGAGGATTTCACCATGCATTAGCATATTGCAAACAGAAATGAGTCACTATAAATGTTAATCTGAAAAATATAAATTAATAAAAAGAAAAGAGAAAAAAAATAATTAAAAAAATCTGATGAGTTTTCGTGCCTCTCTTTTCAGATTTCAAGAGAGAGAGTTAATTGTGTAAATAAGTCCTCAGAGATTTGTGTAGAAACTATGACCATTCTAATTTCAGAATTAAATAAACATTACTGTCGTTTTTTTTTCCTTTTTTTTACTGCACACGTATGTTTGTGTGTGTGAGCAAAATAATTTGCCCTTGGAGAGCCACCTTGAAACAACTTGTTCCAAGGGAAGTTGAAGACTGATTTGAGAAAAAAGGAAATCAGTAAAAACAACTCACAAAATGTTGTCTGGATGGCAGATGGCTAAGTTGGTTGGCCATGTGGTGGTGGTGCAGCCATCTTGCATTTTACCAGAAACAACTTTTCCATTACTTTCACTTTTGTTTTAAAATTGTAGCACATATTGCTAATTTTCAGTACCTACATTTAACTGATGTGTAAAGATGTGCACACACATTTTTAACCAATGGTTTAATTGGACAGTTCCTGGGTGTTGGTATTTGTTTCAGGTGGTGGGGGGATGCTTTCAGGGCAATGAATTAGCAGCTCAATACTATTAGAAAGAGACTTTATTTTTCTTCCTTTAATATAAGTACAATTCTCAATTCCTTATTCAGGGATCTTTCCTTATGGCTTGCTTCTTGATGGAATTTGTGAAGGATGACATTTATGTAAATGGAGTTCCCCCTCTTCTATTGATGGAAATCTGGATTAAATCCTGCCACTTAAACTGGGCAGTATTTTGATCAAAATGCACACATATTATAGTCATGGTCGCAGAGATGTAAAATTTACGAGTTTTATTCTTGTGTTTGGTTGCAACTGTGATATTCCACTGTATATTGTCGTTTGTTTCTTTACATGGACTTGAAATTGCATGCTGCAGTCGATTGAAATGTCTAAATCTTAAAATGGGACTCTTGCTCACTCCAGACCTTAAGTGGACCTCATCTATATGATCCATCACTGAAGATACTGAAAAAAATGGTGATTCCTTATACCGCTCCAGAAAGTACCTGACTCCACCTGTCAAGCAAGACTCAAAACAGGCAAAAAGTGGACTATTGTTGCCATATGTTGCATGAGAGGGGACAGGAACTATAGTCTCAACGGCTTCAAAATCAGTTGAACAATAAAATCCTGATTGAGATGCAATATTATTAAATAAGAATACATTAAATTCATTGTACCATAGATTCTAAGGGTCAAAATAGGTTTGAATTTTAAATCAAAATCTTTTTGGGTGTGTCCTTTTTGATGGTATGTTTACTAAGTTAACATCAAATAAGGGTTTTTTAATTTCTATGAGTGAAAGAGAGAGATATATAATTGAGCAAATTGTAAATCCTGAATTCAACTGTCTACACTACTTTCCAAGCTTTCAAAAAAAGCCTAAATTTTTTTTTTTTTTTTTTGAGGGAAAGTTATAAATTTTTGTCAACTAGGAATTGTGTAACTCTTGTAAAACAAATATTTCAATGTTTTTATTTTTTTATTCTATTGCTCATGGTTTATGGATGGCAAAATGCACACCAAAAAAAAAAAAAAAAAAAAACGCAAAAAATCGGAATTTGTCTCATTTCTATCAGCCTATAACTATACAACTGTAGACAATAGAAGTAAAATAAAAACATGAGTGTTTCCTCCATCTATTAGACAATAGGACTTTCAAATAACAACTTGCTATCTTCTTTGGATGAGGTTATAAAGTACCAAAGTTGGCACATCATGCTATTTTGAAATCAGCAAAAATTGACACCAAATTTCAATAGGTGTGGAATACATCAGTGGAAGTAGCCTTCTTGTCATATGGAATGAGCCAACACTTTTCAATTCATTGTTGCAACTCCCTCTCGTGTGATCCTTCGATTTTTGTTGGTACACAATACTTTGTGATGCCATTTCGCAACTTGCATGGCGTTTTGCTTTCTGCTCATTTCCAGGATGCAGTCCACTCACTCTGCTGCTGATCAAATTCTACCTGAAAATCAGGTTCTTCAATCGAGAATATTGGCACCGCTGTGCACACAGAAACAGGCACTTGCATGAATCAAACTCTTCCCCTGACTTAGAAATAGACATTCTGCCAAGAGCCTTGATTGTTTTCTAATTGAATTAAATCAAATCCAAGGGGTTCCTCTAGCGCTACGAGGGCCTCCATCTCAACAACCCATCAATTTCCCATACAAAGATTGATTGGCCCAACTCTGCACCTCTGCATTCCTCTGCTGATGGTTACAATGTCAACGCTTCATTTCTTCCATGTTGGCACACCTTGCTCACTATGTTGCAGGAGCACCTGGAGTTCACTAGCATGATGCACTTCCTTCCACAAACATTAATTTCTACGGTTGGCAGCACAGAGTGTACATCTTGACTGGGGAGGAAACTGGTGCAGAGTTGCCATCTCCTGGTGCTTTTCCCAGACAATCTCTGGAAGTGACGTTATGAAAAGAATTTACATAAAATAAATAGACAACACTTGTCTATATTATTTAATGAAACACGTATGAATATATATATATATATATATATATATATATATATATATATGACAAAGTGGGGAAAAAAGATTTTTGTGTGTCTTATTTCATTCAATGAAGTCTTAAAGGATGAAATGCATCACGCAAAAGCATTTTCCACTTTGTCATAATTCCCCCATATATATATATATATATATATATATATATATATATAAGTGAACATTGTTTCATGCTAGACGCAATCGTCAGGTCTGCCGATTGCGTCTAGCATGAGACAGCCTGTTAGCTCTAAGTATTGACTTCAATGTTCACTTTTATATTTACACATGCACTACCCGTGATATTGAGCACTTTATCTCATAAATATAGCACGCCTAAAGAGTAGTTTTTTTTTTCATATATATAGGTTAAGGAACAAATAGGAAACATTTATAAATTTAATATATTTCGCTTTTATTTAAGCTTGATCAGAAAATGAAATAGGGGAAGGTAAAAACAATTAGTTTTTTTTTTATTTTTGTGTTTTTCATTGGTTAATCAGACCTCATACATATCTGTCCTGCCAAGCAGTATTCGTGTGTGTGTTATAAGAGTTTTCTTTTCTCCTCCATTTTTCATTTTATGATAATATGTTAAAGTTATACGTGTTTCCTATTTGCTCTTGATCCTATCATTCTGTTGGATCATAATCCATATTCGATCTATATTCACTTCCAGTTCACACACACACACACTTATTATTTGAGGAATGTAATATCCAAAAACCCACCCACCCTCACAAAAAAATAAAAAATATGACCCCCAAATATATCTGGCATCTTAAATGCAAGGTTGTGATCTCTGGTGAGCTAATGTTTATCTGAACATTATAGACTACCAAATACTTGTATCCAGTCTAACTCCATAATACTGTAATATTAACCCATATTTGTCACTTTAAACTGACATCTTTTTTGGCTATAAACCTAAACTATATAATTTTGGAAAGTGAAAATTGTCATCTGGAATAAAACAAAAATGTGAATTTTAAGCAAAATGGTGAGAATATATGAAAAAATGGTGTCAGTTTAAGCTAGGAGGATATTTTTATTTAGTTATTTTTTTTTTAATCAATTTAACCCAAACAAGGTGATAATGCCACTAAGATGCAAGGGGCTACTTTGAGTAGAAGAGGAGATGACTTCAGAAGGAATCAGAAACCCAATCCTAATCAGGAAATGAGTGTAAACTGGAACAAGTTGGTGGTTTTATATGCCATCAGATATGGTAAAATTCAAAATGTAGCCTTTTTATGTGGTTTGCATGCTAAAATATTCCAATAATTCATATTCAAAACTGATATTATTGGTCCAGATCTAGCGCCTCAGCTTCAGATACTTTGCCACTGCCATAAAGCTACCTCCCTGTGCCTTTTCTATAAATACTTTTGTGTTAATTGTTTGAATGAGCTCTTCACTATGGTACCTAGACATTTTGAATTTAAATGCAGTACTAGACTGATGACAAGGTTTCATCAATTTACAATTGTGTTGGTTAGATGTAACTGTAAGTTTTATGCTGGCATTTTCTTTTCTCACACTTCTTGTTTGTGGAACTCTCTTCCAGTTCCATGCTTTCCAGCCAACTTTGATTTTCAAAAATTTACATGCAATGTCAATTGCTATCTACTGTCCGCTTGATTACTCTTCTTTTGCTTTCGCTTGTGAGTACTGTTTCTGTTTCTAACTCTTCCACACCCAGTAACCCCCTGTGTCTTAGCGGATTTGGGATGAACTCTATTAAAAAAGTACAGGTATTGTTTTCTTCTCGTATTCCTTAAAACATATTTGCTGTTTAAGAAATTGCTATCTACTGTCCTCTTGATTACTCTTTGTTCTTACACCTTAGCAATGTTCCTGTTATCTAATTCTTCCACACCCAGTAATCTCTTGCGTCTTAGGGGCTTTACTGCCTTGCCTGGGGTGAACTCTGTTTTTAAAATACAAAAGATAGTTGTCTTTTTTTTTTTCTTTTTTCCCCCCACTCTCACTCTCTCTCTCTCTCTCTCTTCCTTAATTGCTTTCTGATTTCTTTCTTTTGGTAGGTACTGGTACCAATGCTTGTTATATAGAGAACTTGGATAATGTTGAAGTCTGGAATGAAGATAAGAATGAACCAAAAACGGTAAGTCTCATGACAATGAGGAAATGTATTTCTTGAAAGAAAAAAATGTTTAATGTCTTTCAGGATGGTTTTTGTCTAACACGAGGAGCCAGATTTGGGGAACTCTTTTTCTGTCATCCGAAAATGTAGTTGCTGCAAATTCTTTAATTTATTTGTGCTTGATACACCTTTTTCCACTTTGTGCCGTGTCACTTCAGGATGTAGGTGATCATGGCCCTCCACAATTTCTTGTCCTTTGTAGCTCTTATTTAGGTACCTCCACTTTTTTGCCAGAAAAGAGCATACCATGATGAATAAAGGCTCCAAACTTAATAAAACAAAGTTTTATCATCAAATGTTTGTTATTATTATTAGCGGGAAAGATCAAGGTATTTTTTTTTTTTTTTTTTTTTTATAAAATTTTTATAATTTTTGCTAAAAATTTTTTTTTTTTTTTTTTTTTTTGCATCAGGAATTGGCTTAATATTTACTATTGGTGTTTTAGCACCTTTTTTTTTTTTTTTTTTTTTTTGCAGTAAAAACAAAACACATTGATTTGGAAATTCTTGCAAAAATCAAATAATAGTTAGATTTTAATTAAACTTTCAGGACTTACTCACAAATTAATGAAATTATTTTTTTAATTGTGTTTTTTTTTTTTTTTTTTTTAAATCTGCTCCAAATTGTAGAATAAAAAATGCAATAAAACTATCTAATTTTTTAATTAGAGAAGTTTTTTTAACTAATGTGTAAAAGCGGCCAAATCATTTAGGGTCAGATTGCACTTACTCTGTTGGTCCATCACTGTTAATTAGTCTATTTAAAATGAATTGTAGCTACCAATCTGATCCCCTCCAATTATTGAAAACAATATATGTATTTGCCTAGCTGGCATAAAACAACCTATCAGGGTTGACGTGCCATTAAATAAAATCTAACCACACCAACTGTCAGTGTTAACTAACTGGCAGTTTTTGGGCTTAAAATCCCTGCATTTAACCAGAAAAAAAAAGAATTACAAAACTCAATAGGAGCAATGTTGTACTAGCCATTTGCTGCTTTTCACACACACACACACACACACACACACTTACACAAGCAGACAACTTGATGTAGGGTAATGGTTACAGAATCTGGTCAGTTTAAGCATTATTAATGAGTAGTTTGATTGTCGCTGTGTTCACTACACAATATTCAACTTTAGATAACCCAACAAGGGTTGACATGCTGTGAAATCAACCAGCCTAACTTCAAATTGTAGGCAACACAACTTCAGGGTAAACCCTTTGGCAATATGTTTTATAGGGCAAACACACTGCCAACATATTTACAGAGTAAACTAATTTACAGTCATCTTGATATGGTGTAATGGTTAGCAAGGTTAGTCTGTTTGACCATTGCTATTAAATAGTGAGTTTGATCCACACTCTGCCTTGTACAAAAAAGATTTTTGTAGTAAATAACCCAGCTATAGGTGACATGTCAGCATTTCTGAAACAATGAAATTGATCCCAAATATCCAAGAGTATTGTATCGACAAGTGATTGTTAGCATTCAACAGATCAGTACTAAGAAGGCTAGCTACTTAGGAACGGCATACATTGTAGCTTTGTGGTAGACTAAACAATTCTTAGTAATTAATGACTATAAAATAAGGAAATCAGTCAGAATGAGTTTGGTTTCTATAGTTAAGAAGTTCAGAAACTAATAAATCTTTGCCACAATTACCATTTAATGGTCTGTTTAAGATAAAGCAGTAGTGCTTTATCCTGAACATATAGACGAGTGGTTAGAACAATTGCTTTCTGACCATGGGACCCGGGTTCAAATCACCTCCTGATCGATTGATCAGGAAGTCATCAGGCCTAGGGAGGTGATCCCAGTGTGGAAAGTGCCTGAAAACCATACCACGGGCTGACCCAAGCCTTATGGGTGAAATACAGTAGATAGAACTATTTGGGAGCTGTCGATGGTTGTGCTAGCAAGAAATCACAAGTCATCGTGACTGAGGGTTTGAGCGTACTGGCTTTGTTCAGTGTTGATCATGCCAGATAATGCACTCTCTCCCAGTAACTGTAACTAATTCCCACCCAGCATAGTTGCAGTATAGACCACAGATGGGCTCTGTGGGTGTAGAACAAGCACAAATGTGCTTGAGCAGGGGTCTGCAACAGGGATTGACTAACTGCCCTAGTAGACAGGCATACTTAGATATGACCAGCCAGATATTGTTATCTCCAATTTGTTAATTGGAGAGCCGAGTTCCAATTCCTGTTGGGATTGTTATATTAACTTATACACAAATATCCTTGGGAAAGGCATGAATCCACCTTTCCTCCCCTTAGCTTTGGATTACTTAGCATTATTATCTTAAAAAGAAAATTCTAACAATCTGAAAATATTTTCTTGCTTTAAATAACCTGCAAAGGGTTGATAAGTCATAGAAAATGAATCACTCAATCAAAAACCTAGCCATTAATATAGTACCTTATCACCAGTGAAAAACTTACTTAGTAAAATAACTCTTTACACAAAACAATTGAATTAAATTTCCTAAACGACAATAAAATTGTAGCAATATCAGTTGTCAATTGATATCTTGTTAGAGAGACAGCTGGAAGATGTTACAGAAATCGTTTTGACAATTGTTTTGACAAAGGTCAACTTAGAGAAGTGGACCTCTCAAGAACCATGTCAAACAACTCTGACAAAGAGGATCAACTTGGTGGAGCAGTCTTAACGAATTACTTTTTTTTTAGACAAAAGTTGGCAGGACAAAGAACACTTGTTCTTTTTAAGACAATGGTCTCTAGCCACCTAAAACAGAGAGGGTCATTCGCCCACAATGCAAATAGGAAGGCCATGCTGGTTAGACTGTTTGCTCCCTCACCTCACCTAAAGATTCACAAGAAGGTTACAACTGAATAAAATTGCTACAATTTTGTCTCATGGGGTTTTTTTCTTGGGTAATGATTCAACCAAAAAGTTTATTTTCCTTGTATCAAGCCACTAGTGTTAGAATGGAAGAAGCTGTACTTTGCGAATGAAGTAGGTGTCTGGTATGAGCTGCCATTCTACATAGCTTTTCAATTTCCTTCTTCGGTTTTCTGACACACACATTCAAGTCAGTAACTACACCTTGGTGTACCCACTGCAATCAATTTCTCACAGTCAAATATATCTTGATAGGAAGTAAGAAGCACAAAAAAAAAAAAATACATGGCAACTGTTACCAAGCTCAAAATCTCAAAATGCTCTTCAAAAACGTCCCTCCTGCCCAAATAATAGGATATCTGAAGAAAATAAAATACTTCCAACTTCTATAGAAAATAGAGCTTGGATTTTAAACCATACAACGTTTTAAAATACTCCTGAATCATGCAGCTTGAGATATTTTGAAATATTTTGAACTATACAACTTGTGATGTTTTGGAAACACTTTTAAAACCTCACAACCATGTAAAACATTTTGAAACATTCCTGTTTCAGCATTAAATGACCCACAGGGGTTAATAAGCTGGTAAAACAAACAATCAATTATTCTTCCGTTTATTCCAGCTTTAAAAATTCCTTGTTTACATGGCTGACTTACCAGGTTCTCAATAAAACTCTTCATAGCATCACTCTTCCAACTGATTCTATAAAAACAATTGGTATGTTGCTAGTTTTGCTTGTACCTTTCTGACACTACAATAGTAATACTTTAGTTAATATTATAGGTAATTTCTTTAATAGTTGATGGATTTTTAATATTTTTCTGGCTTTGTTGTTTAGATTTAATTTTGTTTTGTGTTAAAAAAAAACAAAGAAATCATCATTTAGCAAATGGGCGATAAATTGTTACTGCTTTTCCTAAACAGCCTCAGCAAATGATTCTATTTCAAACGCATTCAGTTGTTGTTACCCTCTTTGTGCTGAAGGTTGTCATAAAAGATCTGTTTGAGGTAAATTGTAAACAGATAAAATTTTTTTTTTTTTAAAAATGCCTGCTTACACATCTACAATCACCTTATCCTCTCCATCCAAGTATATTTTAATCTGTTTACATTTGGTTGTTGAGATCGTGGGTTCTAATGGTGTGAGATTAGATATTTGTTAACTGTCTGGTTGTTTTAAAACCATTGGGAAAAGATAGCCATCAGCAGTCTAATGATGTCTGTGTGGACCAAAAAGTGATCCGTTTGACTGCATGTATACCGAACCCCCACATGGAAACCAGTCTAGTAGCAAAAAAGGGACTTTGGGTGCAAACAGATCTCAGCTTATGTAAGAAAATGAAATAAAACTGATAACTAAATAATAATAATGATAATAATAAATAAAAAAACAAATTACATTTTCCCCATTATGCTAAGAGTAAAGGAACTGGAAATATGATTACCTCACTTGGTTTTGTCAGGTGGCGCTGGTTAAGGCAAACATTATCCCTCCTCACTTTCTTTCACCCCTTTGCTCCAAGATGTAGCACCATGTGGTAATTAAGCTCCTGCTGGGCGATTTTAGTTTCTCCAGTCCACTAATAACTGATTCTCTCTCTTTCCACTTCCCAATGTATTGCGCTCACTCATGTCTTCCAAAAACCACCACCTGTGAAGTATGTCAAGCTTTCTCTTTGGTCGTTTCAACTCAGCACAAGGCTGACTTGAGCACAACCGTTATAATAATGCTTATACTTACTTATTTACCCTAACTTCAGGATCAAAAAGAAAACGGACATTTCCAAGAGACGTTGAGAACTTTGTTTCACTACAGTTCATATTTAAAAAAAAAAAAAAGAGAATAAATGGTCTGTGGTAGAAATCCAACTTTTTTATATGCTTCTTTGTTTATCACATGTGAACACACACCTCCACCTAAAATGCACACAAACATGCAACCTTAACTTCCATACTCAAAACATGGGATCTTCAAAACAAGTTTTAGATGTGGAAACTACTGCACTGATGTTTATTATTGTCTACATGTCCCAGACGCTTAATTAGTTTCAGCGGCTGTCACAAAAGGAGAGAAAGTAGTTATTAAATAAACAGAAATGAAGAGGTTAACTGCCGTTATTAATAGGGTTGTCTGTTTAGATTTGCCAATTTAAATTAAAATATTCAATTTAATGTTTTTTTTTTTTTTAATATTTTGTAAAACTTCTTCCTCCTCCACTTGCTGGTCTTTTATTGACCAATCCTTTCCGGAACTTCCTTCCCTCCCTTTCATATTTATTGACCTGCCCCACTCCACTTAACTTAATTCTCACAGTTCCCCTTTAACTATTTCCCCCACTTCCTCCACCTAATCTTTGGCTTTTGGCTAACTGCTGTCAATACCTGTTTCCTCCATTATTTTTTTTTTTTTTTACTAACCGAACCTCCCCCCCGTACTCCCCACTTCATTTCCTTGGTTCCCCTTTATTAGCCACTCCCATGCACACACTTCCTTCCCTAATCTTTCACCACTGGCTAACTACTTCCACCCCATCTTTATTTTTCTGCCCCCCTTCTGCAGTTCTTTTTAATTGATTCCCCCCACGAACGTCTCTAATTTTAGCTAAGTACTGCCCCCCCCCAACATTCCAGACTTTTTACTGATCACCCCCGGGGACTTATATCCTATATTCATCTTTTGGATTCACTGTAATTTCTCTTGACAGGTCATAATCAACACTGAATGGGGTGCGTTTGGAGATGATGGCTGCATGGATAGAATCCGAACTGAATATGACAGACAGGTGGACAAACATTCCATTAACCCTGGAATGCAAAAGTAAGTCATTCTTCTTTCGACCTTTGCTTACCAGCAACCCCCCACCACCACCACCACGGTCAGAGAAGGTGACGAGTAAATTGTGTTTTTGTCAGTTTCAATTTGACTTTCCTTCAACCCAAACTTGAAGCCGCGCCCAAATCGAAGAAAAGAAAACAAACAACAAAAAAAAAAACAGTTATCACAAGAGTTACAAGGAGTTACAGATAATGTGGCATACCCCCATATAACTATCAGATTCTTCCCACTGCCATATATCCAACACTATAATTTGGTAGTGGTTATTCAGAAAAAAAAACATTAACAATAATAGGGCATTCTTATAAATCATATTTTTAAAGAAATTTGTTACACATTATATATATATATATATATATATATATATATATATATATATAACTGTATTAAATTTCTTATCTATATATGGCCAAATATTGCATTCAAATATGAAACACTGTTGCTGCTTATATTTTGTTCTTTATATTTATATTACCCTATTCTTGATATTGAGCACTTTTACCCATAAATATAGCATACCTTAAAATTATATTTTTATCATTCATATATATATATATATATATATATATATGGAAAGTATTAAAAAAACCTTGAACATGTACATCTTTAAATGAACCTTGTTTCTTATGCGTACATGAGAAAATAAAAATTATAAAATTTATTGATAAAGACTCTTTATTAAACCAAAGATGTGAACAACTGTAAATTGCAGGCATAGCTTACCTTTTACCTTACAATATGGTTAAACTTTGAATTTGATAATATTTTTTCTTACAGTAATAACTGGTTGATTTACTGCGGTGTACCTTATATGGTTTACTGTTCTATTGTGTAAAATTCATTTAAATTTAATGTAGTTCTGTACTGATGTCTAGTTAGTATTATTAACATCTTGTATTAATTAGTTTGTATTATTAGCATCTTGTATGGATGGTCTTTACTTAATGGTTGGATATTTATATACCAAAGTAGTTTTGGTGGGCTTTTTTTTTTTTTTTTTTTTTTTTTTTTTTTTTTTTTTTTTTTTTTAACCAGTTTCTTAAAGAAGCCTTTTAATTATCAACTATGAAATTCTATTTAGGAAGATGCTCGAACATATAGCTAGTTGACATTATGCTAGATTATCCCCCCCCTACCCCTTTCCCCTTAACTTCCTGTGAAAGTTGAACGTCATACTTCTTTATATTTTACAAAATAATGCAAACGAAATTTCTGAGTAGACAACTTCATGTCATGACCTATATAATTTTTTTCAGTTGGTTTGAATTTTAGTGTAGACTTCACATTTGATTGGTTAACCCCGGTAAACCCACAAGCCTTATTTTAATTCTGTTTTTTTCTTCTCTTTCTCTTTCAAAAAAGAGGAAGTATTCTACTTTTGAAATTAATCATTCACTCACCAGTAATTTACCATTGTCCAAAGTGACATATTTGTAGTATTGAAACACGATTGCTATTGTGTAGATTTTTAACTTGTTTTTGTTTTAATCTCCAATAATAAATAATATTTAGCTATACTCTGTATTGTGTCCTCTTTTAAATTAAATGTTATGGACAGTGGAATTATACATCATTTGTTCTTCTCTTACATGGAGAGATATATATATATATTTTTTAAGCATTCAACCCTAAGCAAGGCGGGAAGCCACTAGCACGCAAGGAGTTACAGAGAGTTGGAGCAAGAGCTAAGAGGAGTGATAGAGGAAAGAATGAAGAGAAGGATAGGGGATAGATCAGGGCATCTGGAGATGTCGATTGACGTTACATTTGAATAGTTGGAGATTATAGCTACTAGGAAAACAAGAACTGGGGAGGGAGTTCCACAGGCGAGAGGTGCGAGACATGAAGCTATTGGAGTAGAAGAGATGGCTACATTTAACAGTTTCGACAGTGAAAGGGTGTGAGCGAGATGCCAGCCTAATTGAACGCTTAAATTCATGAAGTCTGGGAACCAGCGAAAGCAGCTCATCAGAACAGTTACCATGAAAGTATTTGTAAAAAAGACAGAGGGGAGGGTGCGATGGTTAAATTGTCGCCATTTTATATTTCTAATTTCATGCGTACACATTGTTCATTTTTGATTTTGTCAACTGCACAAAATGGTATGGCCAGCGGGGCACTGTCTATGAGCACCATGACACAATTCACTCTGTCAGAAATTAGGAAATGGAATGCTGTACTGCTTGGCATTTGTATCAGAATCTCCAGTACAAACATTTCAGAGTGTTTGGGTGTCAACCTGAGAACAGTGCAGAGGATTCGAAAAGTGTTGTATGAGTCTAATGGTGATTATAAAGCTTGAAAAACTCACTCTGATTGTTTTGATAAGAAATGTACTTCTGGATTTGTTGGAGAGGGCCTCACTCAAATTTTAAAATAATTATAACAGTGTGCATTTCTGTATGTTTTTAGAAATAACCATCACAACAAAATGCAGTTTTTATCACAGTTACAATCGGTTTGTATTTGTAATTTACATAAGTTATGTAAGCATGATTTTGGAGGAGATCAAAAGTTCTTGGGTAGGAAAAAACTACGGCACCTTCCTTGATGAATTTCATCTTAACATCAAGAAACTGATTAGAGAGCTAGAAAGGATCAATATAAAAATAGACATAATATGTCTATATTATTCACTGAAATGTCTGCGTGTGTCTACGGATAAATTGTCATCTAAATTATACAAAAATGTAAGTAACATTGACATCTCATTTTAACAGAGTAATTTACTAAAAATTACACCAAAATATATAAATGTTTGTTATATGCACTTCAACATGTTGCTGCTACACTCTTAATTTACCTTTGAAGATGATCTTGGAGAAGATCAAAAGTACTTGGGTAGGAAAAAAAAACTACGCCACCTTTCCTGATGAATTTCATCTTAACATCAAGAAACTGATTAGAGAACTGGAAATGATCAATATAAAAATAAATAGACATAATATATCTATATTATTCAATGATATATATATATATATATATATATATATATATATATATATTTTTAACAACAGTGTCTTTTTCACACATAAACAAATAAATACTTTCGCGTGGTCATGTGTGATGTCATGAGCTGTGGTGTGATTTTCACTTCTAGTGTCTTATATGCACGTGTTTATTGTTGCTTGGAAATCTTCCATGTAAACAGAAACAGACAATCATCACTGTCTTGTCCGTGTATTGCTTAATATATTGTACTGTAATTGTCATCTTTTGATAATGGCTTATGTAAACCAAAAGCTTAGATAGGATTAAAAAATATGGATCAATATTGTGATTTTCTTTCTTCTTTTAATGATAATGTTATTAAGCTTATCAGACGTTATGAAAAGAATTTACATAAAATAAACAGACAACACTTGTCTCTATTATTTAATGAAACATGCATGAATGAAAAAATGCTGCCTAAATACACACACACACACATATATATATATATATATATAGGTATTTACTTGACTCCCACGAGGTCAAGATGTGACACAAGGTCGATTAACGTGGGAAACCCGAGTGTTTCCACTCAAAGGCCACTGGTCAAAATTGCTCATAGCATGTCCAAGCTGGTCAGAGCTTAGTCAAAGCTATATATATATATATATATATGATTAATAGAAATATAAAATTTGTTACTTAGGTTATTGATATTATTTTCAGCACCCTGACTCCAGAGTTTTGTAGACAAACCTTTGTTTGGTCAACTAGTCAGGAAGTTACAGAATTTCATATCTATATATACATATAATATTGCACATTGGGTGCTGGTGTTAATAAAATAGTGCTTGATGTAATAGACCTATAAGTTATATATTAATAAATATACAATTTTTTTTTTCCTCAGGTATAGCATGACTTGGAATTTCATGCACAATTCAGCACCTGAAGATTGCATTATGCATCAAACACTGTGTTGTGCTACCACTGAGGGGAAAAAAAATGTATATATTGTAATCCTAATTTAATATAGAATCGATATATGTTTCATTTTGGGCTAACCAGGGAACTAGTGAGTCAAACGGGTGTTTAGGTGCTTGTCTTATACTGGTAATCAACCAACCATATAAAACACTGGTCGATTTTTGGAGGAGTTATTTCTTTGTCATTTCTATCCAAGGGAGATAATCCAAATCAGATTTGCTGCCAAAAAGCCAAACTGTCATGCTTTCTTTAATTAAATTAAAAATAACAAACTTAGCAAAGGCAAAAATATAGAAATTCGAGAGAAATTCATCATTAACCCCTTCCCTTGCAATTATTTTGGGAAAAAAGCTTCACTTTCAGGCAAATTTTTTTTTATTTGTTTTTGCCATAGTAACTGAGACACCTTAAAGTACCAGAGTGGAGGCTAAGACCTCTACCAGGCGTATAAATTGACAGTTGGACTCATTTTAAGCTCAGAATGACATAAAAAGAATAAAGATCGATGTATAAACATGCTTGTAGTTGGTTTTTGAACATTATATTTCGGATGTATTTATTTGTTCACGTCTGAAAAAGACACTTGTTAAAAATGTATATACATGTCTATATTGGGGAAGAGGTTAATGATGTTTTATATTTGTATGCGGTCCTTATAAATAATCTGATTGTTTTGTCACAAACGTTTTAGAATGAAAATATGCACTATCAGATACTAATGAAATAACTTTGTCTGAAAAGGATGCAAAAGATTAGGGCATTGTTATACTTGCTAATAGAATATGGAAAGATGTCTTTCCAAAACTAAGCAAAGTATTAAGACAGGAAAAGAGGGCAGTGAAAATTGAAGAATTTTGTCTCAGATGATGATGAGACTTGATGTGACAGAAATAATTTTACTGACGAATCCTTAGAATACCATAGACAGAATTTGATCAACAAGGAAACCTTAAGAAAAACAGGAACCTTAAGTAGGATATGACAACAATAGTGCCAGATTCAACTAAGCTATTGTCTGGTGATCAGAGTTGCATGTAGTAAACCTTTTTTTTTTTTTTTTTTTTTTTTTTTTTTTTTTTTTTGGACAAATGAAGTCCACTACATACAGAGGGCTAAAAGATAATGTCCACTTAGACAGCCATGAATTTGAAACTAGAGAAGGCAACAGGAAACCACTCCACTGTCTTTCCAAAGGGCAGTCATCTTAATGGACAATTTACAGATATTAAAGATAGGAGACTGTTAAGAGCCATAACTTAAGGAGTATAATTAAATGACAATGAAATGGTGGATCAAAACTGGTGTATTCAATTAGAATTTGATTAATCATCAAAAGTTTTAATGCTTCAAACAATTGGATTTATATAAAATTGGACTAGATTTTACAGTCAAAAAGAAAATGTTTGTTTTATATCATAACTTTCATTTTACAAATGCCACTCTAATTAAAAAACAAAACATTATCCTTTATATCGAAAATACTTTAAAAAATTCCTGTTAAATATTATATCAGCTATAAATACACATAACAAAAACTTGCCTTTTGTTATTGGGTCCAAATGGGACATTTTTTATGTTGTCTAGTTTTAGAAGAAACGATTTAAATGTTTTTGCTCATATTTACTGTTGCGTTTCATTCTTTTCTCAGGTATGAAAAGATGATCTCTGGTATGTATATGGGAGAATTGGTACGCCTGGTTTTGGAGAAGCTTCGAAGACACAATCTAATTTTTTGCGGCAAAGGCTCAGAAGATTTGTCTACACGAGGACGATTTTATACCAAATATGTTTCTGAAATCGAAAGGTAAGTTGGTCTCTTCTCTTGCGTCAAGGTTTCAGGAGAAGAACTTGTCTTCAACTGTGTAACTGGCCATGGGTCTTAGTGAAAAATGGTCTACACTTCATATTGCCGTTATCTCTAAAAACAAATATATCTCTCAAAAGGAGGTGGGAGAATGGGCAAATAAAATACATTCCTAAGAAATACACTATAAAAGTTCAGAACAAACTCAAAATGGTGAAGGGATGTATGGAATTTCAGATTTAGTAGTAGGTAGCATGTAATTACCGTGTTGCCACTGGACCAGCAGTAGCTAAAGAACATGTAGGATCATGCATGTGGTAGCAGGCTCATATAAATTACATCTAAACACATGTATGTATATGTGATAAATGTCTATTTTTAAATTTTTATGGAATATTAAAAAATTATTCTATTATAATTGTGCTTGTCGATCCTTTCGTTAGGCAGGGCATAATGGTCGGGCAAACTATCTCTATCTATAAAAGGCAGGATGTATGTGTGTGTAACAAATGCATGGCCACAATTTTCGATGGATTTGCACCAAAATTTACATGCACATGCTCCAAGTTAGCGGGAAGGCCAAGACTGACTTTGCATTTCCCAACTCCCATCGATAATGGAAATAATCGATTTTTTTCATGCTTGTACGGAAGTTTTCATGTAGTTTGCGGCCATTTTCTACTGGCCAGAGTGAGAGTCTATAGCTGGCTGCGACGAATAGGCAGGAAGATTCTATTGGCCAGCATGAGAGCCAACAGCTGACTGACACGAATGTTAACTAGCAAGCTAGCATGCAAAAAAAAATTGATAGTTGCATTCATCACAAGTGGGAAAAATTTAAATCTGCATTGCACTTTACTCCAATTGGCTCATTCACTTGCTTAAACTCAATGTTGATTCTGATTCCGCAGAACTGGGTTGAGTGTGAAAAATTATTTGTTGTTAACATTTTTTTTTCATTCAGTTTTTCCAGTTACGAGTCCTCTTTTTTTTTTTTTAAAGCTGATTGTTTTGTGTTCATTTTGTTTAGTTCTTTTTTCGTAACAGATTTAATGTTTAGTATAGAGCTTAGAAAAAATTTGCAGTGTGAGATAGTCAAGAAGTAAGGCATGTAGCAACATCAGCACGGCAAGGAAGGGCAAAAATATTTTAAGTCAAGTGATAGCGATTGCTGTATGAGCCGTACGATTTTTGAATCAAGTACAGGCAATGCCGGGCCATGCTGCTAGTAATAAATAATAATAGACTATTCCATTTTGATTGCGTGGAAAGAAGAGGAAAACCACTACTTGGTCTCAGTGAGAAAATGAAAGAAGAGAAGATGGGAGTGTTTAACATCTCCTGCCAATATCTCATAAATAATAGACTATTCCATTTTGATTCCATGGAAAAACAAAACTCATGTCGGATGCTACTTGGTTTCAATCAGAAAATGAAAGAGAAATGTGAAGATAGAAATGTTTAATGACTGTTTCAGGGAAATGGAAAAAGTTGTCAATTCCAAATCTTTTCATTTGTACCCACTTCTTAAAATAACGACCAGCATTCATAATTATGATTGTTATTGCAATATTTTGATAAAATTGTTAAATTCAAATATTTAATGATGTGATAGGGAAATTTCTAAGAACTTTCATAGAACTTGCCATGAACTTATTCAATCATTAACTGATTATTCTGAATTGTTTTGGTGAAAATTTTACTTGTTTTTTTTTTTTTTTATTTTGTGCATAAAAAGGATAAAATTGTCACCATATTTTTTTTATTTTTATTTTATAAAGAAGCTCAGTAAAATTGGGCTTCAAGATGTCTATTTTTGTAAATTTTTCTGCCCAAAGACACTCCCTGAATGTCCACTTCCTCATTTATTGAGTTCTACATTTAAAAAAAAAAAAAAAATTTTGATAAAAATGGAAATACATTAAATTGTCTGGGATTGTCATTGTAAATGTTTCTTGATGTTAACATTATTTCTACTTGCTGCCAATTGGTCACTCCCTCCCGACCACGAGCACTTATTTATTTTATGAAGCCTAGTCAATAATTTTGCTGCTTGCTTGATACATCATCATTAGCTGAATTTTGATCTGAATTTTTCACCGTACGCAAGCAGCTGCTGAAAAGAAATTAAAAACAAAAAACATTCTCTTATTTGGTCTGATTTTGGGAAGTGGGGCAAGAACTTTTAAGTAGCTGTACCTTGTAATGTGTGGTTAATTATCACCTCTGAAATAAGTGCATTGACAAGAAAGGAGCGAAGGAGATTTTCTTTTTTTTTTTTTTTATAATAATGTTCACCCTGTACAAGGCCCAGGAACCACTCAAGGTAGAGGGTTACAGAGTAAGAAGCATAGTTTATGTGAATATGTGGAGGAGATAACAGTTAACCCTAAACTTGAACAGGTGAGGAGTGTAGTGATAAGACAACAATCCTCTCAGGAGTCAGTTCCACAGAGCAGCGGTTTGCAAGAATATGCTGCTTGAGTGGAATAAAAATATATATATATATATATATATATATATATATATATATAGCAAATGTAATTTTTTATATATATATATATATATATATAAAATGTAATTTTTATATATATATATATATATATATAGTAAATATAATTTTTATATATATATATATATATATAAAAAAAATGTCTATTTATTTATATATATATATATATATATAAAAATGTCTATCTATTTATTTATATATATATATATATATATATAGCAAAGCAAATGTCTATTTATTTATATATATATATATATATATATAAATATATATATATAGCAAATGTCAATAAAAGCAACAGAATTTGTGTCAATTAATTTTATTGATTGACTTTTACAAATTATGAATACGTCCCACGTCGCCTATGTCATAATGCTTTTTGCCCATGTCACAACACTCACTAGTTCTAGAAAATTCACCATTTGTCTCTACCTACCCTGATGATGACTTAAAAAATAGAATGCTTGGACCATATTTTTTCCAAAATGAACTTCGTTCAGTTTCTGATGGAATTTTCTCCTTATCTGAGAGGGATTATTCGTATTTTGAAAAGTTGATCAATAAAATTAATCAACACAAAATGTCTGTTGTCTTTAATAACATTTACCTTAAAGAACATTTGCTGCCTAAATTATATATATATATATATATATATATATATATATATATATATATATATATATATATATATATATATATATATGTGTGTGTGTGTATCTTTATTACTATTTTTATTTTCTTAAATAATCAAATTGTTAACAACTGTCCACAATTGAGAAGTCTGCTAAAGAAATATTGTGCCTCTGACAGGTATTGAACCTGCATTCACTTTTCCATCAAACAAAGTTTCTCTTTAGTAGGATTTCCCCAATCTCGGACAGTTGTAAAGAAAACAAAAAAAACAGGGAAAACAACTCAAATATGCGTACCACTAAAAATAACTTATAGTACTAAAGAAATGTACACATACACACAAGTGTGTGTGTGTGTGTGTGTGCGCGCGCATGAATGTTATTTTAATCTATTGAATATTCATGCACTGAAGAAATATTTGTAGTTTGAAATCTCTGAGAAAGATTCTCTTATAATGAAGCTTTTGTTTGCTTTTCTACTTAGCATTCACCAGAAATTTTATATCTATATATATATATATATATATATATATATATATATATAGATATATAGTTACAGTTAAATTCCCAGATGAATTCTGTGGACAAGACAGATTGGTATCAAATGACAATTGGGAAAAAATATATATATATATATATTATAAATTAATTGATTTAAAATATGGTTTATTTTCGCTACACAGTTCCAACCATGTTTCAAAAATAGAAGCTAAAACCCTAATTTTATTTTTTGCAAATAAATTAAAAGCATTAGTTCTATTTCATCTTCAAGCGAATTTTGGAGTAACTTTTAAAATTTACCGGGTTTTAAATACACAGCTGTAAATTTACATTGAGCACTATTTTGTAAAAATAAAATATCTATAAGAACACCGGATTTTATATCTTACTGTTCTTTCTTTTTATTTATATACATATATATATATATATATATATATATATATATATAGCATCTTTATCAGTCAAGGCAACAAAATGGTATGGGAGGTGAAAATTCACCGCCTTGACCCATTTCCAAAGATCTGACCTAGCACAGATTACTTCTTTTTTTTTTTTTTTTTATCTGTTCTTGATTGCAGTTGTGTGTGTGTATATATATATATATATATATATATTTATTTATTTTTTTCCTGTATGTTTTGCTTTGGATTTTTATCAATTATTTTTTTTCTTTAACTCCTGACCACTTTTGAAGCATTCATTTCTAAATGCGTTTTGTGAGGAATAATATATATATATATATATATATATATATATATGGCATCCCAAATTTCCAGAATGGGTTCTATAAAGGCAGATAATCTTTAGGAATCTGCTTATTTTCTTTTCAATCTGAGAACAAAAAATCACTTTATCGTATCAAAAAGAATTAGACCATTTTGATAATTTAATAGAAAACATTTATTAAATTATTTTCAGATTGAAATTTTGTTCTCATCATATTTCTATCAGAATTCTGATGCTTTTTAACTCCAATTGTGTTATGGTTTCTTAGCCACAATCAAATTAAATCACTACAGTCTATCAAATTTATAAAATTTTCTGCATTTTTAACTTTAAGTCAATTTCTTCTGTCAGAATAAATTCTGTTTGTCACTGAAAACCGTTTTTCAGCTTCTTCAGAATTTACAGCAATGCTATTAATTATTAGCTGATTGGATAGTTTTGGGGACAACTGGTTTATGGTAATTTCTTGTTAGGTTTTCAACGTAATCACAGAAAATATTAACAGAAATCTCATGGCAAAATACTTTACAAATGTTTGGCGACTTCTCTTCAGTATCTTTCCAGAGAACTACAACTTGTTTCATATTTCAAGAATCAGAGTTCACAATATTAACTAATTCATTAACTTTGATTTGTTATGAGAGTAATTGCTTTGAGGGCATGTTTCTATTAGAGCTTCATTAGACAAATGTAGTGAACGTTTTACCTGGCTACCATTGGCTATTAATATATAAGATTATTTTTGGATAATTCAACAACTGGTTCACTAAGGTTTTATAATTTTAAGAATCAGTTCATGTGAACTGGTAAGATGCCACCATACACACACACACGTATATGTATGTGTGTGTGTATATATATATTTCCAAGAGGATAAACTCCAGTTAGAGCTCAATATCCAGGACAGAGCAAGAATATAATATAAAAGGCTCAAATGATCCAATTCATCAGACCTACAAATTAATTTGTAGATCTGATGAATTGGATTGTGATTCCAATTCCAATGTAATAAATTATAACCATGGAATATTAGTGTTTATATATATATATATATATATATATATATATATATATATATATATATGATTAGTTATAATCCTTTCACTTTGGGGTAGTGAGGTGTCTCCAGGCAGTACATTAGGGTGTTATAAAATACCAGATTTCTATTAACTGTGCTTCTCTAAAACATGGGATATTTTTGGGAGGCAGACATTTGAGTAATGGTTCAGTTGGGATTCTTCACTTTTAAGCATTTAACTCAACCATGTGTTGATGGAAAGAGAAAGAAATGGATTCACCTTGGTTGATTGGTACCTTAACAGAAAATAAAATAATCACCTTACTTGATCAACTTTCTCAATTGAGTTATCTCCCTTAATCCCTTACTAGGTCATTTTTTTTTCCAACCAAAATTTTATTTTGGAGCACATGTTTTGATCTTAGAAATTAAGATTCCATACAAATATCAAATCTATAAAGTAGGATTGGCAAGCAAAGTTTCAATTCTTGCCTTCTTTGTCATGTTGGCAATGTTTAATATTTGTGACTGAAAAAAAAAAGCTGTGTCAAAAAATGGTTATTCCATTGACGTCACTCTTATTGTATTATTGTATTTGATTCCTTTGGCAATGTTTGTTTTAAAAAGTGATGATTAGAATTTTAATAAAACCCAAACATATGAAAATGAACTTATACATTTTTTTTATTCTTGAGAATTGACAACGAAGCTGTTAACCTTTAGCACTCTGCATAATTAATATTACTTTCCACTGTAATCCTTTTCAAGGACTCTTAATTGTAGTAATCTTATTGTTAATTTCATGCAAAGGCATTTTCTGTTGCAATAGAAGGATATGACAACACAACTATGAAATTCAAACAAATTCAAATTTGAGGATCAGTCACCTTCAGTGGTAGGATAAACTTTTTGTATAGCAAATGATGTCACATACAATAATATATATTGCAATGTTGTTGGTTTACATATTTTGATAATTTTCTAATTTTTTTTCAAAATGTTTAAATAAAAAGATCTCTTTTCAAATTTCTATCTTCATAAAATGATAAATAATAAATCTTTAACAAAAGCAAATTATAATTATTTCATTGTACTTGGTTAGCATATTTTTATAATCTTGTAAATAAATATTGCCAAGGGAGTCAAAGTTGTATACAGTAATAGCGATGTCAAAGGAATAGCCATCCTTTTGACATAGTGTTTTATTGTGGGCACAAAGATTAAACATTGCCGATGTGTTTACTCTTGCACTAATGCCTTAAGAAAAGCTTGAATTCATCTTCCACCAGCTATAGGTTAAATAGCAGAGTTAATGAAAATGCCAACCAATGTAGGAGAAGGACAAATATAAATTCAAAAGTGTGGTGTAGGCAACAGGTACCCTCCTATCTTTCCCAAGAAATCATTATTCACAGATAATTAAAAAAGAAAAAAAAACAATAAAAATTGAAAGTCATGATCACCTGTAGCCTGAAGGGATATGAATTTCAAAAAAAAAAACTACAAATTATGCAGCGATAAGAATGTTACTTAAACTGATTACATTACGACTTATTTCATAATTTATCTAAAACAGTAAATTGATTAGTGCGTTACTTAAATGACTTTTTCAGTGGATTGAAAACAATAAATCATCTGTCAAAAACTTGTAATGATGCATTTTATTTGTTACGAATTTAAATGAAATTTAATTTGAATTTATTATAAATAAATGCAAATTATAAGATTTATTGTGAAAATTTAGTCGATCATTAGAGTTCCTTTCTTCGGCCCCTTCTTCCATACAACAAATGATATCTTGCAACAATTTTTTTTCTTACAATGCTGTTTTTTTTTTGTTTTTTTTGCAACCTTCAATTCTTTTTTATTATTTGAAGATGACATTGAATAATTTAGTTGAGGCAAAATTTATTGACATTTTTGTCTACAATATAACACAAAGTAAAAGGTTTGTTAAATTTATTTTGGTTACAGTAAGATAAAGATTGTCTTAATTGGACAATAATATAAGTGATGGGTGGCTATATAAAAACCCTGTTGATTATTTATGACTAATTTGTTTAAATAATGCACTGACTATTGTGTCACATGGCCATAATTCTAAGTAAAATGATGCACTAAAATAAATAATATAGTCATCATTTTAAGTTCTCAGAATATTGGTGCCTAAAAAAAAATCAACACACCATGTAATAATTCTCAATGTGTATTTATATATTTCCTGTCCCTTCTATAGTGGGAAGGGAGGTAAATCAATTTTAGTAAATTTGAGTGATTAATTCCCTTAGTCATTTTAATAATCTATGCATATAAAATATTTATCTGCATTCAGACAAAATTACTTCTCAAGCAAAATGAATCATCTAATTAATCAGTTCCTTTGCTCCTATGTTTCTTAGACTGCAGTCTTATTTGTTCAAGCCTTTCATGCGAGGCACTCAGATACTGTGTCTATTAAGTGATCGCCTCGCTTCAATATGGTCTTGAAATGGGCTTTGTTGTTGCTCCCTTTGCCATTCTGTTGTTAATTTTTATCTTCTGAGAGATATTTATATGTATACTCTTGACTAAAATGAGTGAACATGTGCCCCAATCAAATGTACTTATGGCATACAGCTTGACAAAATATCTCTGAATATCCTGGCAAGCATTCATATATTGCCAGATTGCATTCCTAAAGTTTGAACGTTATTGTATAAAAGTTTGCAAAAAAATTCTTGCAGAATGGTGGAGAATTTATTTCACTTAGTAACAACCATGAAAATTCTATGTTTAGTTAAAATTGTAACCTTGATTATTGCCATTGCTCATGCAAAATTGGTGCCGCCAGGAATAAGAAGTTCAGGATAGATTCATTCTTTCTCTTGAATCTAGCATAAGGACCAAATATTTTTGTCCAGTCTGAAATCAAAGATTATTTTAACAAAGAACTTACATCAATGTTTCAGGTGGAAAAATGTTTCTTCACGGAATTGCATTAAGTGATGTGTAGAGATGGCACGGTTCCTGTTTTATAAACCTTTATTTTTCTGTTTTTCTTTATCAGTGATATTGATGATGGTTTCAAAAATACTAAGCAAGTATTTGAAGAACTTGGCCTGGAACATTATTTGGTTGAGGATTGCCGCATAGCGCAGTATGTTTGTTCACTGGTCTCGAGAAGAGCTGCATATTTGGCTGCTGCAGGTAAGCATTGTGCCCTCACTCTCTCATTTTGGTAACCTTTTAGAATTGTCCCCATCACTCTCTCATTTTGGTAACCTTTTAGCATTGTCCCCCATCACTCTCTCATTTTGGTAACCTTTTAGCATTGTCCCCCATCACTCTCCCATTTTGGTAACCTTTTAGCATTGTCCCCATCACTCTCCCATTTGGTAACCTTTAGCATTGTCCCCCATCACTCTCCATTTTTGGTAACCTTTTAGCATTGTCCCCCATCACTCTCCCATTTTGGTAACCTTTTAGCATTGTCCCCCATCACTCTCCCATTTTGGTAACCTTTTAGCATTGTCCCCATCACTCTCTCATTTTGGTAACCTTTTAGCATTGTCCCCCATCACTCTCCCATTTTGGTAACCTTTTAGAATTGTCCCCTCACTTTCCCTTCTTGCAAACCCTTTTTTTTTTTTTTTTGGAACTTTATTGTGAACAGCTCTTTTTTCTTTATTTTTTTGTCTTCTTCTGTATGTATATTTTGAAAACATGTACAAAATTTTTATTGTATTCTTTTATGTTGTTGCTTTTTTGTGATAAAAACGTTTTTACCCTCAGCTGTCAAACAATCATGGACTAGAAATAAATCACTTAAATCTCTATGTTGGTGAACCCATCTAATGACTTCTAAATCTGTTATTTGCTTAATGGTTGTAAAATGTTAAAAAATTCTGATTTATTGCAATAAAAGGCAGCAATCATGGGGAAGGGATAATCTTATGAAAATTGTCATGGAAATGCTTTATTGAAGAGTTCAGATTAACTCTACTTTCCATTGAGCTTTTTAAGCACTAAATTTTCTTTCTGAAAATGACACCCATCCCCACAAATTCTTGATTTTGCTTGATATTCTTGTCTTATATTCAATGCATGCAAAAGTTTCCAGTGTTTTTAATTGAAAAATTAAAAAGAAAACCATTCCCTACTGTGTATTTAATCGCTGGGAACTTTTGCACACACTTATTGTCACCATTAACCATTTTGTTTCCATGCCACTGTGCAATAGTTTTGCCCATTGTTGGATTATTCTGGACAAATTGTTGTTGGTCACACCAAAAATTGCCTCAATATCTGTGTACACACACACACACACACACACACACACACACACACACACACACACACACGTGTGTGTGTGATACAGAGGAAGTGTAAGTTTGTCTGATGGCACAGGCAGCCGATCTGAAAAGTGCCAAGACCCCCCTACTCCTTGTTGAAAGGAACATTGCTACATATAATAAACGTTACAGTCTCGACACCAAAATAGAATTACAATTGCATATATATGTATGCTTGAATGCATGGATGTGTATCTGTGTCTAACCTCCCATCGTTTATATGCATGTGTTTGTGTGAACTAAAATATGTGCACATGTATGTATGTATGTATGTATGTGTGTGTGTGAGTGTCATCGCAAACGAACTCAGAAGAAAATTACCCCCTCTCCTCACCAAACATAACCAAACACAAATAAGCATAAATAGATCAATTTTTAAAAAATAATCCAGTTTGTCTGATGATCGCAAAAGTGTGAAACTCAATATCACAAACTCATATCCATACAAATGAATGAATATATATATATATATATATATATATATATATATATATATATATAGGTGTGTAGCAGTGGTTAGAACATTTGCTTTCTGACCATGGTTGATTTGTCAGGGACAAGATTTTCTGATGCTATCAGCCTGGAGTGGGTGATCCCAGTGTGCGGCACCTTTGGAAAGTGCTTGAAAACGATACCACAGGTTGACCCAAGCCTTGTGAGTTAAATTAGGTAGACATAACCAAGGGTTTGAGTGTGCTGGCCTTGTTCAGATTGTTGATCATGCTAGATAACATGCTCTCTCCCAGAAACTGTAACTAAGGTCTGCTTAGCATAGTTGCAGTATAAACCACATCTTTGAATACAAGTGGCCATTATATATATATATATATATATATATATATATATATATATATATATATATATATATATATATATATATATATATATATATATATATAGGTATGTCTCATTAAATAATTTAGTCAAGTTTAGTCTACTTATTTTTAATATGATCCTTATATTCACAAACAAGGAAAAAAAGAAAGTTACCATATTGATGCATATTCGTTTATTCTGAGTACTTTTGCAAAATGTCATCTTCAGAGTCCTGTTTTATCAAAAAACATATTTGTTGTGATTATCTGAAAATTAAGTTTTTTTTTGTGTAGTTGTTGTAACCTAGGGAATGTTACTGAATAGAATAATCAAATGAAGGTTGGTAATGAACGATAATACTTAGGACAAGAACAACACATATAAGAATCCCCAGCAGTGCGTAGAAGTAGTCGACTGTTAGAAGTGAGTCAAGTGAATTCCCCAATGAATCTCCGACTGCAGACCAACATACAGTATTTACTACTGTATTTATGTGAATGGGGACATAGCCATTACCGTCCGTAGGTATGCTACAACAGTATTGAAAAATGCTAGACTTATGTACTGTACGATTTTTTAACTCTATGATGTAAGCATACTTTTGCAATAACGTCAAAGGGGGTAAATAATAAATTTAGGTTTTTTCATGAAACAGACTCATCACTGGATGTGGACCTCAATGTCCACTTATAAAGGGTGTTCCAATAACTTGGACTGATTTTAAATGTGAATTAAGTTTAAGCATCTTATGATTGTTTTTCTTTTAGATTTAATAACTTAAATCTTTGGCAAAGTTATCAAAGCCCATTACGAAAATGGACATTCAAACAAATGCATTTTGCATACTTTTGGTCAACATAATCGACCAACTGAGAGTGCAATTGGAAACAATGTAATGTTGTTGTAGAGAAGTTCAATTCCTGCATGTGATGACAAATAGAGGGGTCTGCATTTTCAGCCACATTCCCGTGCACTGCAGCAATGTTTTCAGCTGAATGATGTAAACGAGTATGCAATGGTGTTTTCACATCTACCACTGACCAGTTTGTTTGAATTTACAAACAATTTTTCCAATTGCACTCTTGAAACTTTAACACATTGTTTGATTGTTAATCTTTCCATGGTTGAAATTGCCAAAGACTTAAGTTGTTAATTCTGAGAGCAAACAAAAAAATCATTAGATGCTTAAACTTAATTCACATTTAAAATCAGTCCAAGTTATTAGAACACCCTTTATATATTTTTAGAAATTAATTTTTCATCTATTAATCAGACATATTTTTTATCTTATTTTTTAAAGATTATCTTTAGTGGATAACAACATTTGAGTAGATGCCCTGTTTTTATTTATTAAACAATATATTTAATTATTTCCATCTGCTGGCTTTGAATATTCAAGAATTCTTCTTAGAAAAATATACATTCTCTGGCAAGATTCGAACCTACATTCCCTTAGGGGAAAACAGTCATTAGATCTGACATGCTTTGACTGCTCAGCTACAAAGAACCTACTAGCCTCAAATATTCAGGCTGGTAGAAGGAAATAAGCTAAATATAATTTTAAGATGATTTATTCAAACCAACCTTTTTTTCGTTTCTTTAGGCACAGCAGCAATTCTTCATAAAATGGGTCGGCACGAGGTGACCGTAGCTGTTGATGGCTCCCTGTACAGATTTCATCCGCATTTCCACGACTTGATGGTGGAGAAGATCCAAGCACTATGCCCAAACACAAGAGTAAGTATACTTTTCTTTCATTTTTCGTCTATATTTCTGCGATGAAGCATTGTAACTATTTACACTATTCAAACTGTTGTCCTCATCTTTACTGTCATATTCGCAATGCTTCGGCTGTTGTATGCACCGGCCTTCTTCAGTATCTGTCTATATTTCTGAGATGAAGTACTGTAACCATTTGCATTATTTACATTATTTGGACTGTTGTGATCTTTACTGTCACATTCACAATGTTTCTGCTGCTGTATGCACCGGGTGTCTTGGGTATGACAATAAACTGCATCTGCATCCTGGGTAAGAAATAAACTACATCCAACAAAAGAGGCCTCTGATCAGGAGGTTTTGAGGGCCGTGAACCACCTCTTAATTTGGCTGGTGTTCCCAGGTCCACCACATGACCCAGGGTGATAGCACCTGTTAGGGTCCCAACTATGGGCAAATAGTTGACCCTTAACCTGACTCAAAAACACTATGAAGTGTAAAAATAGATTTTAATACCAGAAATACTTTTAAAAAAAAAATTAGTATCAACAATAAATATTTGAAAAAAAAAAAATATTACAGAAATAAAAAATCTTGTCAGCATTAAATAGCCCATTAGGAGGTTAATATGCCACAAAACAAAACAAACAAAATATTGTCAGAAATAGATTTTTGAAGGAAAAATATTACCAGAAATAGATTTTTGACAAAACAAAATATTAGCAGCAATAAAAATTTTGTCCGCATTAAATAACCCATTGAGGTTGATATGCCATAGAACAAAACAAACCAAACCAAACCTGTATGCACCGGCTTTCTTCAGGTGATATGTCCTGAAAGACATGTAGTCCAATGGTTAAGAGCTTTAGTTTATTGATCCAAAAAATGACTTGACCCAAAGAGTTGTGTGTTCAATTCCTGGCCTCAGTGGAGAGAACCAAAACTTGGAGAGTTATCAAGGCGAGTTAACTAAAACTGGCATGGTATGTAAAATTAGGACAATTTACCTCTGAGGACTGGATAAAGAGTTTGGTTCAAAATCCCAACAAATATCACCTGAAGAAGGCCGGAATGTACATTGACCGAAACGTTGTGAATATGATAATAAAGATGAGGACAACAGCCTGAACAATGTAAATAGTGTAAATATTTTATTTTTTTAAAATCATTTATGTGAATTTCTGCTGACAAAATGGGGTCATCCACTTGTCATTCTGGGCCCAAGACGTGGGTTGACTTACTGAAGGTACCTAACAAGGTCTGAATATACCATCCCACAAACCCAAATCTGCCCAAGCTTATTGCAATATCGTTTTGAAACACCAGTTCTCGTACAATCACTGAAGTTAAGCAACATCAAACCTAGTTAGTACCTAGATGGGTGACTGCTTGGGAATACCAGGTTATGTAAGCTTGGATATGGGGGTGGTATAATCGATAACAGCTCGGAATTTGATATTGGAGAGCTGAGTTCCAATTGCAATTGAGTTCATTGTATTCATTTACTTGTAAATGCCCTTGGGGCAGGTATGGATCCATCTCTTCTTCTCTCAGCTATGGGTTAATTAATAGGACTTTTATCATAAAATCCTCATTATTGCCAAAAAATTCTTACAATCTAAAAATATTTCCTGGCTTTAAGTAACCTGTAAATGGTTGAAAAAAACCATAAAAAATGAATCAATCAAAAAATTAATGTTGAGGATGGAGTTTTTAAGAAAAATATAAAATATATTTTTTCTTCCTTTATTGCCTGCACCCAGAATTGAACCCTGTATGAATCATTAGCCAAGAATTTGGTCACTATTTAGCAGAAGGAATTTTTTCTTCCATATAATCTCTGAACCCCCCCCCCCAAAAAAATAACTCAAATTATTCACCTGAAAACTTTCTTTGGTATTAAATGATCCATCTGGATTGAGGTGCAATAAAACAGATCAATTAATCAATCCAACACTGAGTTCCATGGCTATATTGAATGGATATTGTTTTTTATATATATATATATATATATATATATATATATATATTGCGTCTAGAGATTATATGCAAAAGAGGTATTGTCAAATATTTTGTGTAAAACAATATGACTCAAGAAAATTTTTTAAACGACGCCGGGATCATGATATGGGCTTATTTATTGGTAATGAGCTTGTGGGTCCATTTAAACTGAAAAATGGGGTTAAAATGAATTCCAAAAGTTACTGTGATTTTCTAAACAATATTTCTTTGAATGGCTTGATAACCAGTCTTTATGCTTTGCGTAGATTTATGATCTTTATGCAAGACAATGCACCAAGTCATGCATCAAAGTTTACTAAATCCTGGTTGAAAGAAAGGGATTTGTTGAAGATTCTCTTATGGACTGGCCTTCAAATAGCTGTGACTTGAACCCCCATTGAGAACCTGTGGAGCATCCTCAAGAGATATTTATTCTAATGGAAGGCAATTCAACAGCTGTGTGACCTCTGGGAGGCAGTTAAAGTTGCTGCAAATAACACCAGCCGCTAAAATTGCAAATCTAACATCAGATGTTGACAATAGGCTGCTAATAGTTAAGAAAAGAAAAAGTATTTGTGCAATAAATTTTAGGAGTTCTTATTATTTTTGTTAATATATCTTTTATTTTTAAAATAAAATTTTTTATGTTTTCCTTTAAGAAATTGATGAATTTGTTCTAAAATCTTTCATATTATTTTTTATACATTAGTTTTACAAGGTATAATAATGTAAAAGTATCAAAATAAATAGTTGCAAATAAACTACTGACAGTCAAATTAGTCTGTTTTGTTAACTTAGTAAAACTTTTTCCAACCAAAAACAATAGTTTTCTCTATCGCTATATATCTAAGTTAATAATATTGAGTAGAATCTAAACATCATAATAGGACTTTTAACATTAAAGACGCAACTTTTTATACCAATTCATAACTTGCATATAATCTCTAGATGCAGTTTATATATATTTCTGTGGATTCATTTCTGTAGTTCACTGCTACCAACAAGCAGAAAATTATTTTTCTCCTGATGATGGCTATGTTGGCCGAAATGAATCGAGAAATCTAAATGAAATAATAATAAAAACGAAGGAATATTAATATACAACCCAGTATGTCTGAAGATTATATATATATATATATATATATATATATATATATATATATATATATATATATATTATTTAGTTCTAAACACTTTATATTTGCTAGCAAAATAGTTTTGGTATCTATATTACTGTTATAGTAATTTACCCACGCACACATGAACTCTCCCAGCTATAAATAGGAGCAGGTACTGCCTTTTGGAGAGGGAAGTTTCCAGCAGTCACCTCTGACAGTCGGACCGAACACTCTTGCTGTAACACTCTCATTTGTATATGTTTGTATTACTGTTTCTGTTAATCAATTTGTTTAACTCAATTCCTCTCTTTGTGTCTTTATTTCTGGCCCTAACAAAGCCACAACAATTACCAAGGCTGGCAAAACAGCTTTCATATCTATTTTTCTGGGACTGGCAAAATAGCCTATTCATTTTGGTTTGATGTCATCCAACGATCATCATCTTTTGGAACACGGTCTTGTCTTTTTGCTCTTAATAACAAGACGTATAATAATGATTTGCCTTCATCTCTTCTGTTTTTGCAAACTCATTTGATTGACTGTTTTCTTCTTTTTTTTTTTTTTCTTTCCCCCCTTGTAGTTTCGCCTGATGCTTTCCCATGATGGTAGTGGTAAAGGAGCCGCCATTGTTGCCTGCTGTGCCAGTTCAAACACTTCAAGCTCCCCTGCCGCCTCGATGGCAAATCTTCATTTAGAAAAATAGGCATTTAGATATATATATATATATATATTTTTTTTTTTCCATTATTTTTAAATTTCTTGTTTCTGCTTTTGTTGTGGGGATAAATTGGAAGAAGTAAAATAAACTTTGGACACACCAAAACAAAAAACAAAAAAATTAAAAAAAAAATAATTTTAAAATAAGACAAATGAAAACCCAAAAAAGTACAAACTGTTTTAATAATTATTACAAAAAAAGAATTTTGAACCAAGCTTAAAAGAACAAAACGAAAGAAGAAAAAAAAAAAAAAAGTCAATACCAAACCATTATTTGCAACTGATCTATTCAAAGACAACAGAAAGAAAGGAAGGAAAGAAGAGTAGTTGACTGACGACTGCAAGAAACAAAGTAAAGAAGGAAGAGATCTAATGTGGGCCGCCATAAACATCACATTGATAATGCCAACTCCTGGAAGTTGACTGACCACTATTGGACAGTGAAATTTATGGATGCAACTTTATGGTGCAAATAAATGCAGTGGGTTAAATTGTTTGGATGGGATGGACACACACACAGACTTAATTTTGTTAGTAAATGGACACACTAACTGAAACATCACCGTCACAAGTAATCTTAGAAGAAATGCCAATGCGAAAAATGCCAAATTTCTTTATTGGCATTATTGTTGTTTTTCTTTTCTTTCCTTTTTCCTCTACTTCTTCCTTTCCATTTTCTTTGCTCTTTCGTTTTTCTTTTTCTTCCTTTTTTTCCTTTTCTTCCTTTTTTTCCTTTTCTTTTTCCTTTTTTCCTTTTTTTTTTCCTTTTTTTTCCTTTCCTTCTTTTTCCTTTCCTTCTTTTTCCTTTCCTTCTTTTTCCTTTTCTTCTTTTTCCTTTTCTTCTTTTTCCTTTTCTTCTTTTTCCTTTTCTTCTTTTTTCCTTTTCTTCCTTTTTCCTTTTCTTCCTTTTTCCTTTTCTTCCTTTTTCCTTTTCTTCCTTTTTCCTTTTCTTCCTTTTTTCTTTTCTTCCTTTTCTTCTTTTCTTCCTTTTCTTCTTTTTCCTTTTCTCCTTTTTCCTTTTCTTCTTTGTGGAGGAGGGGAACAAAAACTAACAGAAACGATGATGTTGGGTGTTTATCAAGACTAACGTCCTTTTCTTAGATGGTTTTGATTGGGAGAAATGACTCTAGGGTTGGTTCTTTTAATTGTCATGTGGTATCAGATCGGTTCTGAATAAGCTACCCTCAAAGCTAAATATAGTGAGACTATAGTCGAAACTGTGCCTGGCCCTGGTTATGTTGCTGCTAGAAGGAAATCATTTTATCATTATTTATATTTTTTTTTTATTTTATTTTCTACAGATTTTTAATAGATCTTATGATTTTGAAAAACAAAACAAAAAAATATTTTATTTTATTTATTTTTTATTTTTAATTCACACCCTCATGCCGAGGCACTTATTCCAAAGATCTGGTTGGGAAGAGGGAGTTGTATTTAGAATGATAACAATGCACCCACTTGACAGTAAATTTTTTTTTTTTAGTATTTATAACAGTGCAAGATAAATAAGGTTAATAATGTATATAGTATGAATTTTTATTCTAAGTTTACTTACAATCTTTTTATAAAAAAAAATAATCTCATCTGTTTTTATTTTTTAATTTTATCATTATAAATATGCCTTATTAACAACATTGAAAGCATAGTTTTTTTTCCGTTCTGTTAAAACTAGTGCAAAAATCCTTTTTCCTATATGCAGACAAATATTATTGTTGAAAAAATAATTCTAGAAAACTACACACAGAAGAAAGCTTTTCTAATTTTCTTCTGTAACACTTAAGAGAGAAAAAAATAATGCCTCCACCCTCGCCGTCTTGTCATAATTCTCCGCTAGAGTCAGATACAGAATTGACATAAGATGGCATTTCCTTGCTTACGAAAGTGACATTATTTTCATTTCCTACAATCTCAAAATAAAAAAAAAAGAAAAAGAAATTAACTTAGTTTAGACTGCAATGATCCCCCCCCATCTAATGGCAGAGATATTAACAAGCAGGACAAAGCTTCTTTTTTTTTTTTTTTTGAAGAAATCTTTTCTCCAAATTTCTGCCATTAGAAAACCAGAACTCAACCACTTATATTTTATTGACCATTCTTCTTTGTTGATCTCCTCAATAAACTTTCATATCAAATGGTAGAAATTCAGGAATTAAGGTTAAATTTTTGCTTACGTAGCATAAACTTGACATCATATTTTTAATACTTGCTTGTGGGTGTGTATGTACGTACACAAACATTGCACACACGTGCTACATAAGTTTTATATATATATATATATATATATATATATATATATATATATATGCTGCATGCATGTGTACATATCTTGTTTGTTTTTTGTTTTTTTAATCTGCATGTATTGAAATTTCAACTCCCTTTTCCCCAAAAAAGTTGAAATTAGAAATTTTCAATTTTCTTTTTTGGGATTTTTTTTCTTTTCTTTTCTTTTTTTTTTTATTTATTTTTTTAACTACTGTTTTTGTTTTCAAGGAGTCAGAATTTCAAAGAAAAAATGTTGAGATGATAATAATAATAATAAAGACAAAAAACTAACACAAATCTTGTATCCAAGTAGAAAGATCAGAGAATAAAATCTTGTTGGACACACATTTCACATTTTCCTCCTTTCCTTTTAATTCGTTCACCTGTCACCTCTCTTTACGTTTTTTTTTAATTTTTTTTTAATTTTTTTTTTTTTTTTTTTCATTCCTTAAATCTTGTTTTCTTTTTTCAAATACTTTCCAGGTTTGTAATAAAATCTTAGGGTTCATCAAGCAAAAAAAGAAGAAAAAAAATCTCACCTCCAGAAGAGCAACTCATTGCCCCTTCTTTCTCTCACATTTTCCACTGACTCGATATCCATGCAGATGACACACCTATTTACTCCTGTCTTAATGGTAATCTCTAATTGATAGATGATCTCAAACATGTCCTACAGTCGGTTGTTAACTGGGGCAAGAAATGGCTTGTTAATTTTAACACCTCCGAAAAATTAAACTGCTCATTTGTCTTAGAAAACCTTTTCAACTTCCATCCATATGGCTGATGCTAACCCTCAGAAGAGTGATTCCTTGAACTTTCTTTGAATAAAGTTTTCCATTGACATGAAGTGGAGAGATTATATTGAATCAATTACTAGGTCTGCTGCTAGGAAAATAAATTGACTGTATAGTGCTAGACAATTTTTCTTTCCAGAATCATGCACTGAAAACTGCTGGTCTGGTGCTCCTGCTATATAACACTAGATTGTTGACAAAATCCAAAGAGTCTGCAATGATATCAGCCCTGACCTGGCATCTTGACTTCAATCACTTTCCCGCTGCTGTGTGTCATTTCTATAAATATTTTCATGGCAATTGTTCAGTTGAACATTCCTCTTTGATGCCTCAACTGCATGAATTTAAGCATATTACTAGATTGGCAATTAGGTCTCACCATTTTATTGTTGGACTAGATACATGTAACCTGTAAGTTTTATTTTAATAGTTTTCTTTCTCGCACTTCTCACCTGTGGAACAGTTTTTTGTTTTCTTGCGTCTCTGCCACCTACAATCAAAATGCAATGTCATCTGTCTTCCTGAAACCTGTTCTTTTATTGTCCTTTCTCTTCAATAAAGTCTTCTCATTCTCTTTCACTAACCCTTGGTATCACCTTGTTTAGAGTAAAGTGATATATATATATATATATATATATATACACGCACACACTCAATTTCTAACAAATCAATGGATTTTTTTTATCTAACATTGTTTCTTAATGCTCCAAACCTTATTTTTTTTAACAATACCTACAAAGTCTGTCTCTCTGTCCAAATTATTAATTATGGTTTATAAATTTACAAATAAGTTGTTTTACACAATTGGTAAACTTTCAAAGTTCATTATTTTTTCCTTGAGTAATTTTGAATATTGTTACATTCATTATCAATGATTTTGTATTTTGTCTGTTTATAAAACCGTTTTTGGCTAAGTCTGGCATTTCCTGATTTGCTGGAACCAATTTGAAATCACTCAAGGTGACATCTTTTACAACAGGCTGGATTTTTATTTAATTTAAAACCTTTTTTTTTATACACACTTCAAAATATGATCTCCTATGGAGAAAGATAACCTATTTTGCCTGTTTCTCTTATATTACATTATTATTATTATTATTATATTATCTTATATTACAATGGCTTCCAGAATTTTAAGTCTTTCTTTGCATTGAGCCCTATATAATACTTTGGTGTTATGTACTAATTTGTTCAACAAAACTTGTTTATTATACACTCACTTACACATCATCATCAAAGGACCACTACCAGCTGCTTGATGGCTGTGCACAATAGTGCAGATGAAACTGGAAGTTGTGGCCAAACATATGAATGCCAGACTCTGCCTTAGGTCCAGTTTACACTCAGTATGAAAAGGTAAACATATGTACGGTTTATGCTCAAGTCAAAATGGGTACACATTTGTTGGGTTTATACCCTTTTATGTCCTGAAAATGTAAAAAGTGTAAAAAAATAATAATAATCAAATAATGCCTGAATAAGTCCTAACAATCTAAGGTTGAAATAGAAAAAAAAGCATGTCCAGTGAAGTTTTGCCTTCAAGAGCAATGGTCCAAGATTGATCTTAGAACTCAAAACCTGAACATCTGCATGATGAAAGTATACCTGCTAAGATTTACTGTATTTTTTGTTTCTAATACAGTGTCTCTCTTATATATATATATATATATATATATATATATATATATATATATATATATATATATATATATAAAAAAAAGTAAATTAATACAAGTAAAGGTTCCTCAATTAGCTGATTGATGTTACTTTCAACATCCTGATTTCAATTTTGGAGATGGACCCTTCTGGAATTACTCCATCCACTCGTCTGGGATATCAGCAATTGACTGCTTGTACTTCTCAAATTTTCTTTTTTATATGCACTTTCCATTGGTTCTATTTTTAAAAAATTTTTTTTTTCATAATGTAT